CTGGAAACCTGACAAGAAAATAAACACACACAAAACGTCATTTCATAAGGACCACACAATCAAAAGTTGCACAGCGAGTTGTATTGCTTTAATTACCATATCTAATTGCTTTTACATTTTATTGTTATTTTGCTTTTTGACATATCAACTGTTGTTGCTTCGATTGTTCCTCTAAATTTTCTGACAAGTAAAGTTTGAATTTTTGTTTTTATGATTATTAAGTTTTACCAGTGCTTCTAGAATATGATTGCATGTATGAAATAAATAACTTTGGCATAATTTATAAGAGCCAAACCTTAAAGTGCATAAAATGTGGATATGTTTTTGATATTTATGTTATATTATTTATATTGGAAGATTTTTTTAGAGAAAAAAAGATTTTTTATGTATTGGAAAAACAATTGTTCTAATGTTATAAAAGGAAATTAATGTTGTTTTTCTTTAACTGGAAATGTTTATGATATGTATGTTTGTTGGGGTTATTGACTGTCATATTTATTGATGCATATATTATTTATTTTTAAGGTTTTTAGAAGGTAATGTTTCAGAATGGGCCACCTTAAGGACGTTTTTGAGAGTTTTCATATAGACAAAATTCAAACTGTTCTATAGAATTTCTTTAAACTTGGCATGTTGTTAGAATGTGATAACAGAAACATTTTAAGCAAAAAAAATTGTGGTCACCGTTCTCGTTTTTAGGTCGACTATTCGATAAGAATAAGTTGTGCTATTGTAGTCACCCGAGCGTCAGCGTCCGTGTCCGCATCTGCGTAACCACTTATGTTAAAGTTTTTGTAATACCTCAAATATTTTCAAAGTCCATTGACATATGGCTTTGAAACTTTGCACACTTGTTCACCATCATGACCCCAACCTGTAGACAGGAGGAGATAACTGTATCAAGCATTTTGACAGAATTATGCCCCTTTTTCGACTTAGAATTTACGTTAAAGTTTTTGTAATACCTCAAATATTTTCAAAGTCCATTGACATATGGCTTTGAAACTTTGCACACTTGTTCACCATCATGACCCCAACCTGTAGACAGGAGGAGATAACTGTATCAAGCATTTTGACAGAATTATGCCCCTTTTTCGACTTAGAATTTACGTTAAAGTTTTTGTAATACCTCAAATATTTTCAAAGTCCATTGACATATGGCTTTGAAACTTTGCACACTTGTTCACCATCATGACCCCAACCTGTAGACAGGAGGAGGTAACTGTATCAAGCATTTTGACAGAATTATGCCCCTTTTTCGACTTAGAATTTACGTTTAAGTTTTTGTAATACCTCAAATATTTTCAAAGTCCATTGACATATGGCTTTGAAACTTTGCACACTTGTTCACCATCATGACCCCAACCTGTAGACAGGAGGAGATAACTGTATCAAGCATTTTGACAGAATTATGCCCCTTTTTCGACTTAGAATTTACATTAAAGTTTTTGTAATACCTCAAATATTTTCAAAGTCCATTGACATATGGCTTTGAAACTTTGCACACTTGTTCACCATCATGACCCCAACCTGTAGACAGGAGGAGATAACTGTATCAAGCATTTTGACAGAATTATGCCCCTTTTTCGACTTAGAATTTACGTTCAAGTTTTTGTAATACCTCAAATATTTTCAAAGACCATTGACATATGGCTTTGAAACTTTGCACACTTGTTCACCATTATTACCCCAACCTGTAAACAGGAGGAGGTAACTGTATCAAGCATTTTTTTTTACTATCAAGCACTAAGAATAGTCGAGCGTTGCTGTCCTACCGACAGCTCTTGTTTAGTTATCTGCCCCTGGATCACAATCTTCTACTAATTTGAGGTCATTTCAAGGGCAGATAACTTATAAATACGTAAATGAATTCTTGTTTTTACTTCTGGATAATGTTTTCTTTTTATTGTTGAATACAATACATAATTACATGCAATGCCTTATATTGCTTCTGTTATTTTTTTCAATGAAAATAACGGTACTTTAAATTCATAAAAATAGGCCAATTTTTAAGAAAAAATGCACAGGTTTAGAGAAGAAGTGGAGAAAAAAAACATCCGATCTAAATTTGTTCTTGAAATTTTGCATATTGACTAAGACGAAGGTAAGCTTCGTGAAAATAAGGAAAAAAAATGTATTGTTTCGCTTCATTGTAAATTATCTGCCCTTGAATATAACGAAAAATTCCAATTCAAGGGCAGGTAACTCAAAAATGAGAACGGTGACCCCAATTTTTTTCTGTTTAAAATGTTTCTGTTATCATATTCTAATAACATGTTATTAGTTAAAAGTTAAAAGAAATTCTATTGAACAGTTTTCATTTTGCCTATATGTCTATATGAAAACTTCGAAAACGTCTTTAATTAGTGTCAGTTTGGATGACAGTGGGTAGACACCTTTTATATTGTTAAACTACCCACAGAAGCATATGAATTTGAGCTGTGAAATATTTTAGGATGATTTATTTTGATATTATGTCTTAAAGAAGCACACTGTATTTAAATTCAGAAAATATAATTATACCTTAAGATATGCTGGATATTCACAAATGTTATTAAACTTTGAAGGTATGTTGCAAAATATGACATAATTTGTTATTTTTTGCTATTTTAAACACCCAACGTCAGTAGAATAGGATTGCAGCTGCCATACCTACTTGTATGAATGTATAAATGCCCACTATTAAATTTTGTCTCCCAATTGCCTTTTACTTCTAAAACATGTCCATTTTTTGAAGAATTTCTAAAATTCTACCTAACTACAGATTTCAGGACCTGTCTTGTCCAGTTTTTCATGTAATAAATATTATTCCAACGCTTTTATTGTTTCACAAATGATAAGTTAGCATAATATTATATGTTTTAGGAAAGACTTAGTCAACGAATACTTACAAATGTAACATACTCTTTCCAGATATTACCATAGAAACATATATGTGTTATGTTGTCTGACCATATAGCTACATTTTAAAATGTATATTAGAAACAATATTTGTGTCAATGTTGAATAAATATTTGTTTTACAATTCATTTATGCTTGTGTTAGTTAATTGAGCTAGTTGATGTCTTGCACAAAAATAATTTCAGCGTTCATGGCTGGGTGTTTAAGGTTGTTGACTTCAAACAACTCACAGCTGTGGGTTCGAATCACGACAGAGACTTTGGATTCTTTCATGTGAAGAAGCTAACCAGTTGGCATACGGAACGTGGATGGTTCTTCTCAGGTGCCTATTCGTGCCTGAAATAATGCACGGAGGATCAACTGAGGTCTTCCATCACCAGTAGTCAGAAAGTCGCCATAAGATACATACTTTATACCCAAGATACAAAAAAACACAAATATTAAAATGCAATTCATTCATTTGATAGAAGATCTAACAGAATGATGAAGATATTTCATGAACAGACACAGACCAGAGTTGAAAATGTTCATGTAATGTTCACTCAAGGAACGTTCCCATTTATAAACTTTTAGTCCCTCAACACAACACATTAAAGACCATGTAAGCAAATAACTCAACTGGAATGCCCAGTGCTTATATATTTGGCATCTAGCATTATCTAGTAGACCTCTACATGAGCCATGCCCTTGAGGTCAAAAATGACATATCCCTTGGGAGTTTTTATTGACTTATAATATAAAAATGTCTTTAAAAAATCTTCTTTTCTTAAAGTACAATGCCATCAGCTTAGATATTATGCATAAAGCATCAGTTTGTGATTCTCTTAAAAAAATGTAAATCATGCCCCTAGGGTCAAAATTGGCCGCCCTAAGTTCATTTTAAAAAGGCTTGTACAGGAAAATATATTTAAGTTACAATGCCTAGAGATAATGATTAATGAGGAATGTTTTTTTCATACTGCAATGTAATTAAGTTAATATGATATTATGCAATTATTTTGAATTTATGCATTCATGTTAATCCTTATAATGGGATTGTATTTAGAAAGCAAACATTTAATTTCATATAAACATGACGCTTAATTAATATCGATAATGTTTAAAGCATTAAATTGATGAAACGTCGAGATAACGCCTCTTTGGGTGATATGTTAGGAAAAACAAATACAATAAAAACAATACATAATGTGGTATTGTCTTTGATAAAGAGTTTATCGAATTTTTAACTTTACGAACATTTTGCATTCCATTTTTTTGCAAGTAGTGAAATAAAAGGATAATATGAGCTTTAGCTTGATTGAGCAACACATGTGACTAAGGAACGGACTATTTTATTTATACGTTAGATTCACTCTCTTTGTATGGAAAAAACAACCTTTAGTCTGTATTATTTCTTCAAACAGAAAATACACTTATTCTTAAATTTCACATCGTTCAAAAATTTGTTGCATATTTTCTAGGTGGAATTTAATTAACATCACTATTGTTTGAGACTTTCCATACATACCCTACTTTGTTTCGATTTTCCATAAATTTATAGACCTAATTTCTAAGATTAATGAAGATTACGTATGTCGTGTTTCATGTACATCTCTTATTGTTTTTAAGAACATCAGATGTAATTTTACTCACTTTTCTATAGCAATGAACGCTATCAATTTCTTTTATGTTATTTTTTTCATGCAGAAAAGGTCGTATTCTTTTTATTATGTTTAAGAAAACATGATATTAAGAAATCCAAAAAAATCGCTGTTATCCTATAATATTAATTTGATCGTCGAATTGTCATTCGAGTTTTATCTTATAAGGATATAAAGGGAGACCACATGATTATTTCATTCATTTCATATTATATTTTCAAATGATGTTTCAACTATCACGTATACATCAGTTTTATCGTTGACAAACAGACCAAACATTTCCCCCAACGGGCATATAATTCTAACTTGAGTATAAAAGCATTATTGGAATTTGATACCAAATTATATATCTTTAAAAAACGCATTAAAGATTGGTCTCTGGGGTATAATTAAAAGCTTCCGATATGCTCCTAAATAAATCATCTCATATTTCACGAGGAGGTTATTTCTCCATGGAATAATTTACATACCATTGATTGTTTTATGCCTTCTATTTTTCGATTATAATTATAATGAATTGCGCATTGCTATTCGAAGTACATGTATAAGTATTATGTCACATAAAGCTAAGGCTATAATGAACAAGTATAAATTGATTGGGAAGACACACGTGTTATGTTGTTGTATGGAAATATATAAAAGTGTTTTCTAAACATGGATTTAATCTCTTTATACACTACTTTATCTTATATCACTCGTTCACAAAGGGCGAACAATAACATGAGAATAACGCAACATGTTTGAAGGAATATCACTATTAATTAATATCAATCTAATACATGTATCATATCATACGTTTGAAAAGCAACATTTGTACGAACGGATTGGATAATTTCTTATAGAATTTCATGAAATTTAAGCAAAAACTGTTTGATGAATGATACAATTTACTAGTCTTTTATTCAAAGTCCGATTAATTTTAGTTACTACATGTATCTCTAAACAACTAATAAAATATGAAAAATTATTTCAGAAATATGATTTACAGCAGTTAACGGAGATATACAACCCCGTAGGTCATCAAACATCTGTCGTAGTTATAAAAGCATTTTGATGTCCAATCAAATAGGATATGCTTGGCAATTCGGAATTAGGATTTTAACTAACTGGATTCGTTTTCAGTGTTCATACTTTTGAAATTTCATTAGTAGATATTTTATCTGACAACAGAAATGAAAAAATAATAATAATTAAACTGATAATAACTTTCTTTAAGAACTATTAAGATATAAATTAAAAAGGATTTTATGCATAAAATAACAGAAAATATTTTTAGCGGAAGCAAAATGACCATTTAACCGATATTTATGGCTTTATTTTAAGGAAAACAAGTGGTCCCACATTTCAGGACTGAAAACCATGGAAAAATTGTGCAATATAGATGGAAGACAAAATCTGCGAATTAATGTTGGAGGAACTGTTTTCATATGTCATGCAGATATTCTCAAATCTTTTCCAGAATCTTTTCTTGCTAGTATTGATAAGCAAATGCCAAATCATGAAAACAATGAATACTTTTTTGACAGAAATCCGTATATATTTGCTTTCATTCTCGATGGTTTTCGCAAAGGTTCTATCCATGTACCGAAGGATATTTGTGGAACTACTTTCAAAGAGGAATTGGAATTTTGGGAAGTTGCCGAGAGCAACGTTGCTCCTTGTTGCTGGGAAGCCTTATATAAAAGCGATGAAGACAGGTTAACAATGCAGAAACTAATGAAGAAGTTTGAGAGAAATACAAATGTTTTCTTAGCGCAGCGAAATGGTGTTAGTTTTAAAAATCGACTTTGGTTATTTCTTGATGAACCAAACTCGTCTAAATTTGCTTTGGTAATTATGCCAGCTGTATGAAAGTGGCATTATGCTCCATATATATTTAAAAAAAACTTACTCTTATAATAGTGATTGACAAACAGATGGTTTGGTGCCTAAAATATATAAATACTGTCCTTATTTTTATAAATTAAACGCCACAACTCAATTCTGATGGATATATACAGAGATTTGATTGGGCCACGTGATTTTTTCATCGTTTATACACTGTAATATACAAAATTGAAAGGAACTATTAAAAATGTAAACTTATTTAGACTTTCATCTGTTCATTCGCTATAAACACTTGGATGGAGATAATGCCACTTTAATAGACTTAAAAAATAGCGCATGTTATGTCATATATCATAAATAATATTATGTAATTATGTTCTTGACAACTGCAATTATGTTCTCATATAAAAAGAAATCACGCTTTTGAATTTGATCACCAAGAAAAACGCGCATCTTTTGGCATTGCACTAGTATAATTTCATGTTGCTTTTATCATATTCGACAGGTATGGGCAGTTCTCATCTCAATGCTGATAGTTGCTTCAACGATAATAGAAGCGATGGAGTCAGCACCACTACTCAGCGTGAATTACACCGAGTCGGAAAAGAAGACCCTGAAACAAGTAGGAGAGTTCTTGGACTGGGATAATGCTACGTACCAACAAATGACAACACTGAAGCCACATCCATATCTGAAAACATCAGACATAATTTGTCATAGCATCATTACGATGGAATTCATTTTAGGTTTTATCGTTTGCCCGAATAAATTCACGTATGTGTCAAGCTTTTCTCGATTATTCACAGCTATTGGATACATTTCATTCTGGACAACATTAACGATGCTATATGAAAGATGGCTTTTTGAATACAAAACGGCGGTTAAAATATTCACTGTGCTTTCGTATTTGACAATATTAAAGATAGCTCGACTATTTTATCTTACAAAGCGTACACCAGCATTTGGTATCATAGGATTGACCCTAAGTTCTTCAAAGACAGAATTGAAAATCCTTATTTTTATGCTAGCATTACTAGTATGCACATTTGGATTTGTGATATATTCGACTGAATACCAGCATTCAAAAATAACAAATGTATTTATCGGAATGTATTGGGCCTTGATCACTGTTACAACAGTTGGGTATGGCGATTACGTTCCTGTGACGCCTGCCGGTCACGTGGTCGCCATTGCTTGTGCCGTGTGTGGTGTAATCATTCTTGCTTTACCGATTGGTATAATTGCGTCATCATTTTATACATTCTACAACTATCATAAATATTGTAGGAGACATTTCGAAAACAAAAAAATAAGTAAGAACAAATAGTAAAACGGATTTTAAAAAATCCCGTTAAAGACATATGAAGATACATTTTTCGTGATTTAGACCTTTTTGATAGTAAAACCATACATGGAAACATTTTCTCTATTGATATGTTAAACATGCACATAACTTCTCATCCTACGAGGGAACATCACTAATACAGCATTTCTGTGCTACTGGGAAACAAATGAATGTTGTAATATCGACTCGAGTATGTAGTATCCATTGAGGTCCCGATTAACTGTGTTGACATATTGGACAATGTTGGCAAACAACGTTTAATCATGAATTTTAATTATACTCGCATTGTTAAATTTCAAGGGAAACAATAACTCGGTAATTAATATATCGAAATGGAATTCTGTGTATCATGTATTTCGGAGATGTTGAGCTGTACGCTTATAAAACTATGTGTTTCGAAATTTATACTTGTTCATTTAAATGTATCTATTTCCTACGCCTGATATATTTTGAGCTTATTACAGCTTATTTCTTGGCTGGTAATATTTCAAAGTTTGTTTGTGTATAATGCATCGATTTAACAACAGTTTTATCGTTTGTTATGAAATACGATTTTTTCTTCATGTTATATATTATACATGTTTTAAAGAAATCAGTTCACAACAATCTCAAACCGATAAAACATGTCCTTAAGAATAATGGTGCAATATGTTTTGCTTGCATGAGGTTGCCTCCTGTATCCCATATTTAACAGAAAATGTCATGCAAGTGCAATTTTCTATTTTATCTTTTTATTTATTATAATCTATGATAACATAAAGATAATGGTATATTTTACGCAGTTGAACTTGTAAACAATCATATCATAATATTTGTTTTTGTTGAATATATACGCATTACTATCATTTTATCTAGATACAAATGTGCATATACTTACAGTCCTGCTCGGGAAGATATGTGATTTTATTGCTTATAACAGCTGATATAAAGCCCAAACAAATATAAGTAGCAGTTACATGACATTTACTTTGTGTATTAATAACTTTGAAAGTAGGTTTTTCTTCGAGATTAAATTTGTTTTAGTTAGGCTCTAATCAATTATTTTAAAAAGTGTACAAAAGTCATATTGTCATAGCTTTTGTATTCAATTATATAGTTAAATTTAACAAAATTTGACTACATTTTTTAATTCTTATTGGACAAATATAGTTCATGTAGTTATATCATATGTAAGAGACGATTCAAATGTAATACTTTTTTTATGCATTAATTTTATTCTACCAACTGAGGGGTTTTTGGTCAGTATCTAATTAATATTTATTAACATGATTATCAGAATAAAATACTCAGCACTGTATCTTTGATGCATTAGGTGTATAATCCGTCAGAAAAGCACTTACAAAAAATCTATAAGTGTTAAACAAAATGATCAAAAGTTCTAGACAAAATATGTATAAACACCGAATTAAATATTGCACATTTAACACTTTAGTCATGTTGTGTTAGAATCAATTTGTTATCTATTGCCACGTTTGGCATCCTATACACAAACATTTCACTTTTTTCACAACATAATGTTTAAACACATACTAAACTTGATTATATATTTATATGAAATATATTTCTACATGATCTTTACATGACTGTAAAACAGGTCACCTGTGAAAGTTCGATATCAGTGCGTTGTGCATTATCAATAACTAAGATATGTTTTACACTTTGAACATTTAACAGATGTACATAAACCATCATCGAAAAAAAATTAAATTGTGAAATATTAAGCCATGGTGAATGTTATTTGATTATAAGGTTAGTGTTTATAAATTATTTTTACTTAAATTGATGAAATATTTACTTAAGTCATGTACATCAACTCTATGTTTGATTGTCTTCATTTTTTTAGCTGATTACTTTACATTTTTCGCCATAATTCGGCTACCTGACAAACCTAGATGTAATTTATAAGTTTAAAAAATAATAAAATATCAGAATTTCTGGATATCAACAAAACTCTTCTATTCTAGGTTTATTTTTATTTATTATCGTAATTTAGCTGATTACACTAGGTCAATAACATACCATATAAACTAGTACATTTTTGGTCATGCGTCCGTGTAATACGTTGTAATACATTGTATGTTCATTTTGTGTTTTATTCGAATAACCTAAAGTAAAAATTGTATATTTTCATCATCAAAAGAGGTCGCTATAGATCTATATAAAAAATAAATATATTCAGCAATCCTTTCAGAAATACCGTAATGTCATTCAAATGCATCATTACAGGGGACTTTTTCAGTGTTGGTAAATACTGGAATATATTGTATGAAATAAACGAAATAATGAGAATACATGATGATGGAAGAGGATAACAACACAGCAAGAGGTATATTATTTTTATCGTACCCTTCAAACAAAACAACCAATTAAAATACATGGTTATTATAATAATGATTAACAAATTTTCCACTGATTTGTTAAAAAAAACAACATTATAATACCAACTAAACGGATAAGGTTTCAAACGTAATCAGCCAATGGCACCATCATCATCAGCAGCAGCATCATCATCATTATCATCATCATCATTATTTATTATTATTATTATTAACATTACACTAGGGTTGTTCGGGTCGTCAAGTGTCATACCTTTTTAATTTCTCTATATGTTACTTTGATATTTTTCTAAACTACAGATTAAAGTGTATGTATTCAATAAATTAAATGTAAATGTTTTATTCCTTCATCTCCATTATATATGTTAAAGTGTTTAAATTTATATCAAAATTACAGTCGATACAGAAGTAACTGATGCACTTAAGTTCGAGACAATAAAGGAAAAGATAACAAGGTGATGTAATAAAATCGACAATAAATCAAAAATATTGAATTTGCAACTTACAAGTATAAACTTACTTTTGTTCCTATGTTTTATAACTAAAAGTCAAATGTCATATCTTTTTAAAGTCTGACATTCTGAATTTCTTAAAGGCACTTTTAGAAAGGGTAAACATGAATTTTATTTTTTTATACTAGTTCTAGAACATGTTAGATTCTTGTTACCTGATGACTGTAGCCCAAACTGTGAAATAATTTGTCATAAAAGGAGCAAAATGACAACAAAGTAGTATTTTGACTTCCATACAAAATACTAAATCACTATATCTGTACTAGTTGCTAAAAAGCAACGGAAAGAAAAAAAAATGATTCACTTCATTAGCCAATGAGCAACGTTTTGGAAACTATAAAAGTACACCAGAATTAAAAAAAAAGCTTTTGAGAAGTAAAAGTATAAACATTTCTTGTGCATAATGGGTCTTTAACCAATAAAACATCTGCTTCTGCATAATATAATTTATATATCAATTCTTACAATGCAGCCCTGTAAAGAAATTACTTCGTCTCGGGAATGAACATGTTTTATGGGACGAGAGTGACGAATACGATTTTAACAATGCAAATCGAGGTACCGCCATTATATTTAACATGGAACAGGTGAAAACAGACAGCGGTGAACTAGAGTCACGAATAGGTTCATCTATTGATGCAGAAAGAGTTAGGGAAACTTTTAAAAGTCTTGGATTTAGTATAAGCTACTATGAAAATCACACCAAAGAACAAGTTATGGACATCTTGACAAAAGGTACATTTATTTCGTATAATGAATTGCATAAACATTTATCTGTTAAAAATTTATGATACAAATACTAAAAAATATGTTTCAATTGTTATAATCAAAAGAAACCATTTGTAGATCTACTACAAATCAACAGAAAATTAAAGTGTCGATTAATGACATTAAGTTTACAGGAGCGTTACAATTTTAAGTCCCCAAAAATATATTACAACCAATTGCTATACTGGTCAGAAGGATCTAAATCCTTAATCAAAATACCAGTGCATTATCAAAAGAATCGAAAATTCACAACAAACATTATTAATATACTATAACCTAAAATAAGCATTAAATTTGTTTAATTTAGATAAGAATTTTACAATTTTTGTTTGGCAGAGGCCAAGCGTGATCATAGCGATGAAGACTGTTTTGCATGTATAATACTCACACATGGTAGTAGTTATTACCGTGTTAATTCAAAAGAACAATACCACACCAGGGAAGATATGATTATGGCAGCTGATACTACAATGCTTACCAGTGATATCTTAAAATTGTTCCGTGACAGCAATTGCAAAACACTGCAAGGAAAACCAAAACTTTTCTTTATACAGGTAATGGGTCCTTGTTTTCAAAGGCTCAGTGTTTTAAATTGTACACGAATTAATTTATTTATTTGGAAAAGTACTTTTACATTGAAATTTAGAAAACAGTTTCAAATATATATATGGAAATACTATTCAAGAATACACTTTTATGTCTAATGCATATATATTTAAATTTTGATATGTCTGTCACATCACATAAAAATTCAATCATTGAAAGTACAATGTTTGTACACTTCCGATAAAGCGGGTCTAGGACATATGCAAAATCATGACTGAACCTTCTAAAATAGCTGCTTTATAAATGTTGTATACTGTTATCTATTTAAATAGGGATGTTTTTTTATTCAAACAATGAGTTAAATCATCTTTTTTCCAACCAGATAGCTATGACCAAACTTTTTTCTAGATAGCTATAACCAAAATTATACGAAAACAATTAGATTGTGCAGCTTTTGAAATAGTATATTTTTTGAAAGTCTTTACTTCTAACATCCTTTCAAAACTGGATATTAGTAATTATATCATGAATTAACAGGTCTAGTGAAAATTATATAATGTGTTATATGGAAATAAATTATGTTTACACAGGCGTGCAGGGGAGACACTTTTGACAAAGGAGCATTTCTTGAAACAAGAGACGAAGTCGATGCTAAACCTGAAAATTCTACGGAACATATCCCATGTCCAATATACAAAGATTTCCTTGTTATGTATGCTACACCACCAGGTTATATACATTATTGATTGTCAGTTAAAACAATCTTTATATTGACAATGTTTGTTTGTTCGTTCGTTCGTGTTCAGATATTTAAGCCGATTTTAACATATTTTGGCAGCCACTCCACAGCCTTTCTACGTTAGCTCGTTTAATGTGTTATACAATGTAACATAACTTATGTTTGTATTTCCATTTTAATGACAGTTGATTCTATGAACCTTTTTAACACGGATTTGCTTAGCTCCCTTTTAGTTTCTTTTAGAAGGTTATGTAAAGATTTTAGTCAGAAGTGCACAATGCGTGTTTTGTTTTAAACAGGTTTCATAAAGTGTTATCAATATTACAATAAAACAGCATGATTCACAATTAACACTTGTTTGACTATTTGACAATTCACATATTTTGTTTTAGGTTATTATGCCTTCCGACATCCAATAAATGGTTCATGGTATATTCAAGCACTTTGTAGAGCGTTGTCGAGTGCCGGTGTACGGAATAAAACCCTCCTCCAACTGTTGACGTCTGTGATAAATATAGTCAGTACCGAACATCAGGCTCAAGCTCCACAGTACCTTGGAAACAAGCAAACTCCTTGTTTCATGTCCATGCTAGTTAAAGATGTGTATTTTCGTTTGAAGGAACAGAAGATGTCATTGCCTATATGAATTCACAAGCAATTACTATGAAGATGTTAGTATAGATATAATGTGGGCTATAGAAAACAAATGTGATTATAAATGATAATCGGTTTGTTATTTGTAAAGAACGGTAAATCCTCTCCAAAATGAAGATTTTTGTGCAATAGACAGTTAAATTAATCATGAATTTATCCATAATGTTTTAATTATGAAGTATGTTAATTTTTCAATATTTGCCAATTATATCTTGACTTCTTAAAATTAGACAAAAATCAAGATTTCAAATATGTATTAGATGTACTTCGTACAACAATGAAGTTGGATTACGAAAATTTGGACTGGGTGCTGGCACGTTATCGTGGTTATGAAAATGGCTGCCAGTCTTAAAGTTGCGTAATTATCAATTTGAATTTTCATTGTTTTGAAAAGGAATGACAACGCTATCAAATGATATAATTTTGATAAGAATTGCTTCTGAAATGAAAAAATGAGGACATTAGTCTACGAATATATTGAACGCCCCTCGTTAATATGAACATTCATTTTGTTTCCATTTCTTTTAAGAATTTCTACATTGGCTTGTTATTATTTCATAATAAAATATTATTTTTTTAATTGATGTCAGTTATATGATTATATCTCATGGCTTTAAGTCCCCTACCGGTTCGCCGCTGATCTACTGCAAGTTTACCGTCTGTGCGTGCTTACATTTAGCTTTGAGGTGGAAATGGGAACAATGGGTAACTTTAACTGTTTTTTGATGATATTTATTCTGCTAAAATGTTTATGTCGCTAAAATGGTTTTATTTGTCTAAATGAAAAATGGTTCATAGACCTGCGACCCAAATGTTACATTGTTCGCCTTTATTTTACAGTTATGGGTGAGTCCTTGTATAATGGCTAGGGGTCAAAAATAGCCCTAGGCATATAAAGGAAAAATATTTAAGTCCGATTGAATTACATAAGTTACACCAGTCATTTCCCTAAGTTAAAAAATGGACTCGCCCTTGGGATCACCCAGTTTTCATTGACTTATAATATGGACATGTCTTAAAAATCTTCTTCTCTGAAAGTATAAAGTCAAGCGATGAGATATTTGGCACGAAGCATCACCATGCAATCCTCTTAAAAATTATGTAGATCATGTCCATCGGGTCAAAATTGACATCTACCTGAGATTCATTTTATATAGACTTGTATAGGAAAATACATTTAAGTTAAAATGCCTAGAGATATTGATGAGGCATCTTTTTCATACTGCGATGTAAGTTGATATGGTGATATCTAATATTATCGCAATTATATTGCATTTATGCATTTATGTTATCCTTATGAGATTGGATTTAACATTTAATTCCATATAAACATGACACTTAATTTAATACCGACATTGTAATAAAGTATTGATTTGATTAACTAGACTGAAACGGCGAGATAAGGTCTCTTCTTGGTAATGTTAGGAGAATTAAAATGATTCAGCATGAGATATTGTCTTTAAAAGGTTAAATATTTTTTTTTAACTATTTGCAACATTTTGCATTCCAATGTGTTGCCAGTAGTAAAATAAAATGATGATAATAATTATGAGTTTTCGCCTGATTGAGCAAGACATGTGTTTAAGGCAAGGACCCAGTTTAGTTTGTATTATTTCTTCAAACAGAAAATACAAAGATTCTTAAATTTCATATCGTTCCAAAATCATAATTCATTTAGAATCTTAGTCATGTCACAATGTTTGTTTGGGACTACCTAATTTTGTTTTTGGACATTCATTGAATACCTTTTTGGGTGTGTGTGTGGGGGGGGGGGGGGGCTTTTCATAAATACCCTATTTTGTTTTGGAACTTTCCATACTTAGCCTATTTTCATTTTGGGACTTTCCATAAAACATTCTGGTCCAGATAATGATATATAGACCTTAATTGTAAGATATACAAAGATCATGTATGTCGTGTTTCATATAGATCCTGTATTACTTCATTATCAAATATAAATCGATGCATCTAAGAATTTAAAAATATCAGGTGCAATTTTCCCCACTTTTTTACAGCAATGAACAATATCAATTGACATTTTCTTAAATAAAAGCTCGTGTTCTTTTTATAATTTTTAAGACGTTTAGAAAAAGCAAAAAAATAAAAACACAAAAAGACAACAACAAAACAAAACAAACTAAACAAAAATATTAAAACGCTGTTATCCGATAATATGAATCTAATCGTCAAATTGTCATTCGAATTTTATATTAAAAGGAGACCACTTGATTATTTTATTCATTTCAAATTTTCAAATGATTTTTCAACTATCACGTATATATCGTATTTTTTATCTTTGACAAATAGACCAAACATTTCCCCAACGGGCATTATATAAATAACACATGGGTTTGTGGGTAACAGTAAAAATATCATCCCGAGGAAAATACTGTCAAATAACAGTATTTTTGATATTATTACTGTATATCACAAACCCATGTGTTATTTATTTTATTACCCCGAACAAAAATTCTGTGATGATCTGAAATTGTCAACTAAATCTAACTGTAACAAAAATAAACCAAGAGTAACAATAACTAAACTGTCCTTACCTTTCAAGTTTTCAGTGTACTTTAGGCCTACTTTAGAAGTTTTCTGTTTCTTTTATTCTTTAAGCAAGTGATGATATCTACAAGCCATAAACATACAATAAGCTGTGTTTTATTAAGAAAACAAAACACTGACCCATTTATACGGTTATGAAATGTGAAATCTGATCCTTCTGTTTCCAGAATATTCTTCGCATGGTTTTTGACAAAATAACGATGATATCCTATGTCTGTCCACCATATCTGTAACGTTTCACTGATTAAAATTGTTAAATAATCCTTTGTTGCATGCTTTAATCGTCTGCATGTTCCAGTTTGACACATAATTATTTACATTGTAATTACTTCCGTTGAAAACGGATGTTTACTTTTTGACTATTTAACAAAAAGATTTTTTATACGCGAAAAGCACATCAGGGTCTAAATTTAATGGGTGTCATAGTTACTCCAGCGAAATTGATGTCCTATCGGGGTTCAAGGTCGAAAATAAGAATGAATCGAGAAAAAAATGGCGGCCATTTTATTTCATTTTATTTAGAAAATAGACCACGTGACCAGATTTTATACTGTTAAAAAATACTGTTACCTATGTAACAGTTCAAAATTCTTAGTCACGTGGTACACTTGCATTAACAGTAAAAATAACTCCCAGAGGCCTATGGAAAATTAACATTACGAAAAAAGTGAGGGGTAATAAATAATTCTAGCTTGAGTATCAAAGCATTATTGGAATTTGATACCAATAAAATTTCTTTAAAAAACGCATTAAAGATTGGTCTCTAAGGTATAATTAAAAGCTTCTGATATGCTCCTAAATAAATCATCTCAAATTTCACGAGGAGGTTATTTCTCCGTGGAAAATGTAACATATCATTGATTGTTTTATGCCTTCTATTTTTCGAATATAATTATGATGAATTGCGTATGCTATATTCGAAATATAAGAATTATGTGATAACGCTTAAGTTATAATGAACAAGTTTAAATTGATTGGAAAGACACACGTGTTATGTTTTCGTATGGAAATATATTAATGTGTTTTCTAAACATGGATTTAATCTCTTTATACACTACTTTATCTCATATCTCTCTCTACGTTTACAAAAAGAGAACAATAATAATATGAGAATAACGCAACATGTTTGAAGGAAAATCACTATTAATTAATATCAATTACATGTATCATATGTTTGAAAAGCAACATTTGTATGAACGGATTGGATAATTTCTTATAGAATTTCATGCAATTTAAGCAAAAACTGTTTGATGAATGATACAATTTACTAGTCTTTTATTCAAAGTCCGATTAATGTATCTCTAAACAACTAATAAAATATGAAAAATTATTTCAGAAATAGGATTTACAGCAGTTAACGGAGATATACAACCCCGTAGGTCATCAAACATCTGTCGTAGTTATAAAAGCATTTTGATGTCCAATTAAATAGAATATGCTTGGCAATTCGGAATTAGGATTTTAACTAACTGGATTCGTTTTCAGTGTTCATACTTTTGAAATTTCATTAGTAGATATTCAATCTGACAACAAAAATAAAATAATAATAATAATTAATCCGATAATAACTTTCTTTAAGAACTATTAAGATATAAATTTAAAAGGATTATATGCATATAATAACAGAAAATATTTTCAGCGGAATTTCAGCAAAATGACCATTTAACCGATCTTTATGGCTTTATTTTAAGGAGAACAAATGATCCCACATTTCAGGACTGAATACCATGGAAAAATTGTGCAATATAGATGGAAGACAAAATCTGCGAATTAATGTTGGAGGAACTGTTTTCATGTGTCATGCAGATATTCTCAAATCTTTTCCAGAATCTTTCCTTGCTAGCATCGATAAACAAATGCCAAATCATAAAAATAATGAATACTTTTTTGACAGAAATCCGTATATATTTGCTTTTATTCTCGATGGTTTTCGCAAAGGTTCTATTCACGTACCTAAGGATATTTGTGGAACTACTTTCAAAGAGGAATTGGAATTTTGGGAAGTTGCCGAGAGCAACGTTGCTCCTTGTTGTTGGGAAGCCTTATATAAAAGTGATGAAGATAAGTTAACAATGCAGAAACTAATGAAGAAGTTTGAGAGAAATACAAATGTTTTCTTAACGCAGCGAAATGGTGTTAGTTTTAAAAATCGACTTTGGTTATTTCTTGATGAACCAAATTCGTCTAAATTTGCTTTGGTAATTATGCCAGCTGTATGAAAGTGGCATTATGCTTATTGTTTGTCAAGTTGAGCTAAATTTACTATATATTTTTAAAAAAAACTTACTGTTATAATAATTGTTGACCAACAGATGGTTCGGTAAAATATAAAATTGCCTAAAATTTATAAATGCTGTCACTTTTTTATAAATTAAACGCCACAACTCAATTCTGATGGATATATACAGAGATTTGATTGGGTCACGTGATGTTTTATCGTTTATACACTGTGACAGTAAATTACAAAATTGAAAGGAAATATTGAAAAATGTAAACTTATTTAGACTTTCACCTGTTCACTCGCTATTAACCCTTCGATGGACATAATGCCACATTAATAGACTTGAAAAATAGCGCATGTTCTGTCATATATGATAAATAATATTATTTAATTGTGTTCTTGATAACTGTAAGTATTTTATTTTTGCTTTTATTATATTCGACAGGTATGGGCAGTTTTCATCTCAATGCTGATAGTTGCTTCAACGATAATAGAAGCGATGGAGTCAACACCACTACTCAGCGTGAATTACACTGAGTCGGAAAAGAAGACCCTGAAACAAGTAGGAGAGTTCTTGAAATGGGATAATGCTACGTACCAAAAAATGGCAACACTGAAGCCACACCCATATCTGAAAACATCAGACATAATTTGTCATAGCATCATTACGATGGAATTCATTTTAGGTTTTATCGTTTGCCCGAATAAATTCACGTATGTGTCAAGCTTTTCTCGATTATTCACAGGTATTGGATACATTTCATTCTGGACAACATTAACGATGGAAAGATGGCTTTTTGAATCCAAAACGGCGGTTAAAATATTCACTGTGCTTTCGTTTTTTACAATATTAAAGATAGCTCGACTATTTTATCTTACAAAGCGTACACCAGCATTTGGTATCATAGGATTGACCCTAAGTTCTTCAAAGACAGAATTGAAAATCCTTATTTTCATGCTAGCATTACTAGTATGCACATTTGGATTTGTTATATATTCGACTGAATACCAGCATTCAAAAATAACAAATGTGTTTATCGGAATGTATTGGGCCTTGATCACAGTTACAACAGTTGGGTATGGCGATTACGTTCCTGTGACGCCTGCCGGTCACGTGGTCGCCATTGCTTGTGCCGTGTGTGGTGTAATCATTCTTGCTTTACCGATTGGTATAATTGCGTCATCATTTTATACATTCTACAACTGTCATAAATATTGTAGGAGACATTTCGAAAACATAAAAAATAAGTAAGAACAAATAGTAAAACGGATTAAAAAGAATCCCGTTAAAGACATAGGAAGATACATTTTTCGTGATTTAGAACTTTTTGATACTAAAACCATACATGGAAACATTTTCTCTATTAATATTTTACAGTTATGTTAAACATGCACATAACTTCTCCTCCTACGAGTGAACATCATCAATGCATGCATTTCTGTGCTACTGGGAAACAAATGAATGTTGTAATAGCGATTCGAGTATGTAATATCCATTGAGGTCTCGATTAACTGTGTTGACATGTGGGACAATGTCGGCAAACAACGTTTAATCATGAATTTTGATTACACTCGCATTGTAAAATTTTAATGGAAACAATAACTCGGTAATTAATATATCGAGAATTCTGTATATCACGTATAATCTCACTAAACTACTGTATTTCGGAGATATTGAGCTGTACGCTTATAAAACTATTTGTTTCGAAATTTATACTTGTTCATCTAAGTGTATCTATTTCCTACGCCTAATATATTTTGAGCTTAATACAGCTTATGTCTTGGCTGTCAAGTTTGTTTGTGTGTAATGCATCGACTTAACAACAGTTTTATCGTTTGTTATGCAATACAATTTTTTCTTCATGTTATATATTATACATGTTTTAAAGAAATCAATTCACAACATTCTCAAACCGATAAAACATGAATAATGGTGCAATATGTTTTGCTTGCATGAGGAATACAAACGTGTTTGCCTCCTGTATCCCATCTTTAAACAGAAAATGTCATGCAAGTGCAATTTTCTATTTTATCTTTTTTATTTACATAACGATAATGGTATATTTTACGCAGTTGAACTTGTAAACAATCATATCATAATATTTGTTTTTGTTGAATATATACGCAGTATTATCATTTTATCTAGATACAAATTTGCAAATACTTCTCGGGAAGGTACGTGATTTTATTGCTTAAAACAGCTGATATAAAGCCCAAACAAATATATGTAGCAGTTACATGGTAACATTTACTTTGTGTATTAGTAACTTTGAAAGTAGGTTTTTCTTCGAGAATAAATTTGTATTAGTTTGGCTCCAATAAATTATTTTAAAAAGTGTACAAAAGTCATATTTTCATAGTTTTGTATTCAATTATATACATGTAGTTGGATTTATCAAAAAAATTTAAATTCTTATTGGACAAATATAATATTATCATGTTAGAGACGATTCAAATGTAATATGCATTAATTTTATTCTACCATCTGAGGGGTTTTTGGTCAGTATCTCATTATTCATTAACATGATTATCAGAATAAAATACTCAGCACTGAATCCCTGATGCATTAGGTGTATAATCCGTCAGAAAAGCACTTACAAAAAATCTATAAGTATTAACAAAATGATCAAAAGTTCTAGACAAAATATGTATAAACACCGAATTAAATATTGCACACTTAACACTTTAGTCATGTTTTATTAGAATCAATTTGTTATCTATTGCCACGTTTGGCATCCTATACACAAACATTTCACTTTTTTCACAACATAATGTTAAACACATACTAAACTTGATTATATATTTATATGAAATATATTTCTACATGATCTTTACATGACTGTAAAACAGGTCACCTGTGAAAGTTCGATATCAGTGCGTTGTGCATTATCAATAACTAAGATATGTTTTACACTTTGAACAGTTAACCAATGTACATAAACCATCATCGAAAAAAAATTAAATTGTGAAATATTAAGCCATGGTGAATGTTATTTGATTATAAGGTTAGTGTGTATAAATTATTTTTACTTAAATTGATGAAATATTTACTTAACTCATGTACATCAACTCTATGTTTGATCGGCTTCATTATTTAGCTGATTACTTTACATTTTTGGTCATAATTCGGCTACCAGACTAACCTAGATGAAAACAAAATAATAAAATATCAGAATTTCTGGATTTCAACAAAAACTCTTCTATTCTATGTTGATGTTTTATTTATTATCATAATTCAGCTGGTAACACTAGGTCAATAACACACCATAAAAACTAGTAGTGTACATTTTTGGTCATGCACCAGCGTCCGTGTAATACGTTGTATATTCATTTTGTGTTTTTATTCGGGTGGCCTAAAGTAAAAATTGTATATTTTTTTCATCATCAAAAGAGATCGCTATAGATCTATATAAAAATAAATATATTCATCAATCCTTTCAAAAGTATCTGTAATGTCATTCAAATGCATCATTACTGGGGACTTTTTCAGTGTTGGTAAATACGGGAATATATTGTATGAAATAAACGAAATAATGAGAATACAGGATAATGGAGGAGGATAACAACACAGCAAGAGGTATATTATTCTTATAGTACCGTTCAAACAAATAAAACAAGTATAATATATGGTTATTGTAATAATAAAAATAATAATAATAATAACTTTTCAACTGATTATGTTAAAAATCAACATTATTATACCTACTAAACGGATACGGTTTCAAATGTAATCAGCGAATGGCACCATCATCATTATCATATTATTATTATTATTATTATTGTTGTTGTTACACTAGGCTTGTTCGACTTAAATCGGGACGTCAATTGTCTTACCTTTTGCTTATCTCTATATGTTACGGTGATATTTTACTAAGCTACACATTAAACTGTACAAATGTAAATGTTTTATTCCTTCGTCCCCTTCATCGACGTTTTATATATTTAATTTGTTCAATTTGCTTCAAAATTACAGTCGATACAGAAGTAACTGATGTAGTTAAGTTCGAGACAATAAAGGAAAAGATAACAAGGTAACTTGATAAAATCGACGATAATTCAAAAATATTAAATTTTGAAGAAAATATAAGTTTAACTTACAAGTATAAACTTACTTTTGTTTTCCTACATTTTATTTTGATATTATCAATAAAAAGACCAATCTTCATGTTTCCTTATCGCTAATAACAAATGTCATATCTTTTGAAAGTCTGGCATTCTGGATTTTCTTAAACACACATTGTGCCCCAGTATCCAATAATTTTTTACTTCTTTTGAAAGGATAAACATCTTATATTTTTTAAAAACTGATTCTAGAACATGTAAGATTCTAGTTACCTGAAGAAAATAGCCCTGAATGTGAAATGATTTGTCATAAAAGTAGCAAAATGTCAACAAAGTATTATTTTGTTTTGCAAAATTCTAAATTAACTATACCTGTGCTAGTTCTAAAAGAGCAACAGAAGGAAAAAAATGGTTGACTTCCCTTGATTGGCCAATTATCAACTTTTCGAAAACTCTAAAAATACACAAGAATTAAACAGAAAGCTTTTGAGAAGTAAAAGTATAAGCATCTATTGGGCATAAAATCTTAAATCAAAGAAACATGTGCTTCTTCACAAATAATTTATGATTTATATATCAATTCGAACAATGCAGCCCTGTAAAGAAACTACTTCGTCTCGGGAATGAACCTGTTTTATGGGACGAAAGTGAAGAGTACGATTTTAACCATGCAAATCGAGGTACCGCCATTATATTTAACATGGAACAGGTAAAAGCAGACAGCGGTGAACTAGAAGCACGAGTAGGTTCCTCTATTGATGCAGAAAGAGTTAGGGAAACTTTTGAAAGTCTTGGATTTAGTATAAGCTTCTATGAAAATCAGACAAAAGAACAAGTTATGGACATCTTGACAAAAGGTACATTTATTTCGTATTATAGATTACATAAACATTTATCTGTTAAAATTATCATGCAAATTCTAAACAAAAAATGTTTCAATTGTTATAATCTAAAGAAAGAAAATGAAGATCTACTATAAATAAACAGAAAATTAAAGTGTCGATTAGAGATTAAGTGTACAGGAGCGTTACTCTTCGAAGTCCCCCAAAATAGATTACAACCAATTAATTGCTATACATGTCAGAAGAATCTAAATCCTTAATCAAACTACCGGTGCATTATCAAAAGAATCGAAAATACACAACAAACATTTTTAATATACTATTAGCTGAGTATTAAAATAGTTAAATTTAAATAAGAATTTTACCATTTTTTGTTTGGCAGAGGCCAAGCGTGATCATAGCGATGAAGACTGTTTTGCATGTATAATACTCACACATGGTAGTAGTTATTACCGTGTTAATTCAAAAGAACAATACCACACCAGGGAAGATATGATTATGGCAGCTGATACCACAATGCTTACCAGTGATATCTTAAAACTGTTCTGTGACAGCAATTGTAAAACACTGAAAGGAAAACCAAAGCTTTTCTTTATACAGGTAATGGATCTTTGTTTTCAAGGCCAGCGCGTATACTTAAATGTCTAGAGTATTTAGATTTAAATTTTGATATGTCTGTCACATCACATAAAATTTCCATCATGGAGAGTTTATGTTTGTATACTTTCGATAAAGCGGGTAGGATATATGCAAAAACCTTCTAAAATAGCTGAGCTGTAAAAGTTGTATATTGTTATCTATTTAACAAAGGTATTTTTTTATTTAAACAATTTGTTAAAATCATCTTTTTTTTTAAATAGCTATGATCAAAACTTTTTTCCAGATAGCTCTTACCAAAATTATACGAAAACAATTAGATTGTGCAGCTTTTGAAATAGTATATTTTGTTTAGTCTTTACTTCTAACATCCTTTCAAAACTGGATATCAGTAATTATATCGAGAATTGACAGATCTAGTGAAAATTATATAAATGTTTTATATGGAAATAAATTGTGTTAACACAGGCTTGCAGGGGAGACACTTTTGACAAAGGAGCATTTCTTGAAACAAGAGACGAAGTCGATGCTAAACCTGAAAATTCTATGGAACATATCCCATGCCCAATATACAAAGATTTCCTTGTTATGTATGCAATAAAATAGATAAATACAGAATCCCTAAAGAAAGCCCAACACGGCAATATTGAAAATGTTGCAGGCTCGGTTTGATTGAGCCTGTTCATGGACGGTACTGGAAAGTGCAAGTTACCGTCCACGCCCCCTAGCACCGGCTTAAGCAGAATTCAACATTTAAACATGAAATAGTAAAATTTTGAATTTAGAAACATCCGCAGATGTGTTCATACGGCGGTTATCATGGAACCTTCAATGTAACACTTTCGTGCCATTCCATGAAAAGCGGCATATGGTCCCCAAGTAATAAAAAGCGTGTGCCCTAAACGAGAAAACAATGGGCGGAACTAAATAAAATGGAATTTTGAAAGGGGATCAGAGGTTATGAAGCCTGCGTATCACAGATAAGACGTCAAAAGACAAATTTAAAAAGCAGGCAACATATCCTAAGGGTGATTCAACATTATTCAAGTAGGAATATTGGAACCACCCAACTAGAAAATGCCGAAAAGTTGAAACTAAAAATACTACAAGCACAACAATAATGTCGTGCTGAACGATCTTCAAGGATCGAAAATATAACATCATTGATTAAATGTACGGGGAGACTTTTTACAGCCGCCACACGGCACAAATAACACGGATGTGATCATAAAATAGATAAATACAGAATCCCTAAAGAAAGCCCAACACGGCAATATTGAAAATGTTGCAGGCTCGGTTTGATTGAGCCTGTTCATGGAACACCACCAGGTAATATATAGTATTGATTGTCAGTTAAAACAATATTTATATTGACATTGTTTGTTCGTTCGTTTGTGTTCTGATATTCTGATTGTAACATATTTTGACAGTCAGTCCACTACGTTTTCAAGTCGGCGTGTGTAATGTGTTATACAAAGTAACATTTCTTTGTATTTCCATTTTAATTAAAGTTGTTTTTTTGTGTTTTTGCTTAGCTCCCTTTAAATTTCTTATAACAATATTATGTAAAGATTTCAGTCGGAAATACACAGTGCGTGTTTTGTTTTAAAGAGGTTTCATAAAATGTTATCAATATTACAATAGAACAGTTACACTTGTTTGACTACTTGACAGTTCACATATTTTGTTTTAGGTTATTATGCCTTCCGACATCCAATCAATGGTTCTTGGTATATTCAAGCACTTTGTAGAGCGTTGTCGAGTGCCGGTGTACGGAATAAAACCCTCCTCCAACTGTTGACGTCTGTGATAAATATAGTCAGTACTGAACATCAGGCTCAAGCTCCACAGTACCTTGGAAACAAACAAACACCTTGTTTCATGTCCATGCTAGTTAAAGATGTGTATTTTCGTTTAAAGGAACAGAAAAAGTCGTTGCCTATGTAAACATGTCTATCATTCACAATCAGTTAATATAATAGGTGTCAGTATAGATACAATACAATGGGAAATGTGATTATAAAAGGGAAACCGCTTGTTTCTTGTAAAGAGTCGTTAATCCTCTCAAAACGTTGAAGATATTTTGTGTGTGCAATAGACAGTAAAATTAATCATGATTTTATCAGTTATGTTTTAATGTAGTATTATATAGTATTCGCTTATGAAACGTTTTCAATTTGATCTAGAAATCTTAAAATACAATTAATAAATGATTGAGACAAAAATCAAGTGTTTAAGATATATTTCTTACATTGAAGCTTTATAACTTAGTAATATCTGCACAAATCGTGCTACCCTATCCTAAATAATCCATGTTAAATAGTTGTTTATCTGTTAAAAGTAGTTTTTATTGTCTTTACACATTACAGAAGATCTATTATGCTGTATGTTATAATGCAATTAAATGTCATAGTCAATGTTAACTGATAACGTTTTGTTAATTGTAAATACATGTATGTGCAATATTCATTATTACTTCTTTTCGTGATGTTCAGATAATCATTAAGAACGTTTTTATTTACAAAATTGTGGTTTGATAAAAATGCTTTTGCCGGCTCGCCACGGCGAGCCGGTATTACGTTAGGATTTTACAGAGAAACAACCTAAAACTCCGAATCCATCCAAAAATTTTATCGAAGCTTGGCTTCCAGCTTTCTACAAAATTTATCTATCAGGGCTAGGATCCAGAATTATTTAGCCAATCAAATTTGATCTTACATAGCGTCAAAAAACCTTCAATTTTCACGCCATTTTTTAAAAGCAGCAAGAATTATTTTGAGCGCAAAGATATAATGATGATTAAAATGTTTGTTTTCATGAATTCTTTTCAATAAATCATATTTACACTGACTTTTGATTTAGCGATTTCACTTGTTCCTCTGTAGTATGTTTTCGTTTTGTTAATTAACATAAGTGTACATCTGGTTCTGTGCATTTTTTTCTTTTTCCTTTTTTCCGGTCATTTTATCCTTTCCGGTATTTAGTGTATGTATTTACTGGCCGGGATCCGGGACGCCCGAACTGGCCGGGATCCGGGATCGTATAAGATATAGAGGAAAAACTAATAAACTATATTTGTATTGATAATTGTCGTAATGAAAGGCCATTAAACGTAAAGTTTTTTTATTGTATGTAATGAACGTTAAATTAATTTAACTTAGGATATAAATATATTTAGAGCTATTTATTAACACACTTAAAATGCGGAAATCACAATACTTATAATTACATGCCTAATTAATTGGAAAAATCAATGACTACTTTCTTGAATTGGTCAAATCCCGGGATCCCTTTATGTTTTAATGCGATCCCAGCTTTTCTGAAATCTATATTCTTGAACTGTTCTCTTTATATTTTAATACGATCCCGGCTTTTCTGAAAACTATATTCTTGAACTGGTCAATTCCCGGGATCCCTATATCTTTAATAGGATACCGGCATTTCTGGCTGAATTGATTGACAACTTGTGTTTACTTTAGGACTTGTGTCTGTCACTCGTCCAAATACTAAATAACATATTACAACTAAACTTCGTATAAAGAGAAATCTTTATGAATTCTACCTATCTAACATTTATTTGGTCAAGGTCAACAGGCCATATAGTAAATGTGCATAGACATAGGGACTTCATTCTATCTGTTTACATGCATCTTCATATATACTCATATTCCTCTTTGTTAAACTGAGAGAACTGGCTTCCATAACTTTATGCCGGCTCGCCACGGCGAGCCGGTATTACGATAGGATTTTACTGAGAAACAACCTAAAACTCCGAATCAATCCAAAAATTTAATCGAAGCTTAGCTTCCAGCTTTCTACAAAATTTATCTATCAGGGCTAGGATCCAAAATTATTTAGCCAATCAAATTTGATCTTATATAGCGTCAAAAAACCTTCAATTTTCACGCCATTTTTAAAAAGCAGCAAGTATTGTTTTGAGCGCAAAGATATATTGATGATTAAAATGTTTGTTTTCATGGATTCTTTTCAGTAAATCATATTTACACTGACTTTTGATTTAGCGATTTCACCAGTCCTGTTTACTCTGTAGTAAGTTTTCGTTTGTTTAATTAACATAAACGACATCTGGTTCTGTGCATTTTTTTCTTTTTCCTTTTTTCCGGTCATTTTATCCTTTCCGGTATTTAGTGTATGTATTTACTGGCCGGGATCCGGGACGCCCGGGATCCGGGATCGTATACGATAATAAGGGAAAAAACTAATAAACTATATTTGTGTTGATTATTGTCGTAATGAAAGGCCATTAAACGTTAAGTTTTTTTATTGTATGTAATGAAAGTTAAATTGATTTAACTTAGGATATAGATATATTTAGAGCTATTTATTAACAAAATCACAATACTTATAATTATATGCCTAATTAATTGGAAAAATCAAAGACTATATTCTTGAATTTGTCAAATCCCGGGATCCCTATATACGATCCCAGCTTTCTGAAAACAATATTCTTGAACTGTCCAATTCCTTGGATCTCTTAATTTTTTAATATGATCCCGGCTTTTCTGAAAACTATATTCTTGAACTGGTCAATTTCCGGGATCCTTTTTTTTTAATAGGATCCCGGCTTTTCTGGCTGAATTGATAGACAACTTGTGTTTACTTCAGGACTTGTATCTGTCACTTATTCCAATACTAAATAACATATTACAACTTAACTTCGTATATAGAGACATTTTTATGAATTCTACTTATCTATTTTTTTTTCTGGTCAAGGTCAACAGGCCATTTAGTAAATGTGCATAGACATAGGGACTTCATTCTATCTGTTAACATCTTAATTCATATATACTCATATTCCTCTTTGTTAAACTGAGAGACTGAGAGAACTGGCTTCCTTAACTTTATATGTCACTTTTATTTTGATGTTCGCTGAAGTCTTTTCAGCTAACAGAACTGTCATTTTTACATTTAAACACGCCCCTGGAAAGAAATTACGAAGCGAGTCGCTACTAGCTTTTTTAAAAGCTAACCTTGTGTCACTTTTATTTTGATGTTCGCTCAAGTCTCTTCAGCTAACAGAACTGTCATTTTTACATTTAAACGCACCCCTGGAAAAAAATTACGAAGCGAGTCGCTACTAGCTTTTTTAAAAGCTAACCTTGTATACCTTTATGGCAGTGTGTTTGATCCATGTATTGATGTCAATTCTGTGGTATACCTTTATATCTAAACCAAGATTAGTAATGGTTATCCGACTGTAGATAGCATGCATTGATAATAGTGCAATGTTTGTGGTACTCTATCAAGAGCCCATATTAGGCAACGACAACAAAGCCATTAAGAATTTGAAGAAAAAAAAGCATTTATTTTTATGACAGAAAATTGAAGGAGTGACGCCTCATACGTCAGAAGCATCCTCTCAAAGTGAATCAAATCTTCAACATATCAACGACATCGTTTGCATAATTATTTGTACCGAAAGGGACTACAAAAGCAATAATTTGATGTAGGGATGTGGAACGTTTATTACAGTCTACCACAAATCAAAGGGTGCAATACACTCATCATCTAGAATCGATAGGCCAAGAGTAACGGTTTAATAATGCTCACGTGTGGTTTAAATTGTTTAAATTGGCATGGACCTTAAATGATTTATCAGTATTACTTACAGTCATAACAATTATTTGTGCATTCTTTTGTAAATGATTATCAAATATATAATGTTTGCAATACTGTATAAATGTATTTGCTTCACTTGAATCTTTAATTATTAAATTGTACATGCACTTTATTTTGCCATTATATCTTCTAAATAATATTATGATACAATGTATTTATTGGAATCAGCTTTGTTAAAACATATCAACTTCAGTTCGGCTGGAGCTTTTACGAATCACTTTTGAGTCCGCTACCAATAACTAACAAGTTCTATGTAATCATGACTGTCAGTAGAATGAAGGATAAATACAATTAGTGTGCTGAGCATGAACAGTGAATATTACTTTCAAATTCAAATCCAGTCTAAAGAACACTAAAAGAACAACAAGACTTTTTAAAGATCACCTTATTCATATTGCATGAATGCAATAAAAATATAAATAAGTGTATATTTAATATGTATATATGTTCATTTAATGATATAATATATTCAACACAGCTATTAGTGATTGATTAATAATTTTATAACAAGGTACTTTTTATCTATAATTTATCAATCAATCACTCAACCAACCAACTTATTTCTCTATTCATTTAATCATATTTTGAAATGTACAATTATTAAGTATACTTAAGTATGTAACCAACACACACCGGCAAATATCTCCATCTCAACTAATGTAAACAATACTATAAGTAATTTTAATTCATAAACTCCACTTTAAGTGTTATTACACCCGTTTCCTGCAAAAAATCACCATCCTAGTTGTTATTGATTTTGATTATATCAGATTAAATATTTTATGATTACATGTATTTTACGATTTTTATCATCGACTTTTTCAACAGGCAAAATTTTAAAATTTGTACATTTTACCGTTGTTGATGACACATTTTTCGTCACGGGGAGCTTATTAATTTATCAAACATGCCATTGGTATTAAAATAAAAAAGAGCTAAAATAAATTTATTCATACATGAGGACCGACGGTAAAAATATTATGTCCCGAGGACAGGCGGACTTGGCACAGACTTAATTTATTGTACCCTATAAACAGGTGACATGCGCTGGTTTATTGTCAGATTATGCAAGCGTTTAAATGACATTGTAAACCATTGAACGATAGAGATCGGAAAATCAAGCGCTGCGATAAATTTTATGGCACAGCCGGGAAAGGTCTGCTTATATGTCTGTGAAAGCGTGTAGCTGTGCAAATCTGCACGCAAAAAAGCAGTGTGAAAGTGTCTTAATTATAAAGATGGCTGATTGAAAATGACTTGCCGCTTGATTTATTTCCCGTCGTGCAATTGTGCCGAAAAGCCATAACGTTGGTCTTTATATTAAACTATAAAAGTTCCTGCATAGGTCGGTGTGTTTAAAATCCATTGAAATACAGTCTTAACTGTTTTGATAGGTCGTGTTATATAAATATTGAATGAGGACAAAAATAACATTTCTTTCCGAGTGCTTATTTCGTTGAACTAGTTAGTTAATAATTGCTGGCTGCTAGGGTTAAAACCCAGTCAGGGGCAAGCCGATGTTTCCGTGAGCAAGGAACTTTAAGGAACAATAAACTTATAGCTTCCAAAACAACCGACCTAAAATAAATAACTAAAAACTAATATTTCACTAAGTGTAATGATTGTAAAATTACACAATTATGAGTGTTAGTATCAGGTATCGACAGTTTTATAGACATCTTTCTCAAGGATAATAAGCATTGAAAAGTTTCGTCACCACCAGCAATATCATCAACGGTGGTTGTTTTTTCGACGCGCATGAAATGGTCATGACAGTACTGCTGAGTATAGCGGTTTCCGTGCTTCCGGTACTTTCTGTACTTGCATGATTTTTCATAAATTCGAGATATTGATTGTCCTCCAGACATACATGAGTGCTATTTTCTGAAACAAAATATCGCCCTTGTGGAATGATACTTCCGATGTCGAAAATGAAAAGTGACGTATCGTTTTGAAGTAGAAAATTGGAATCTGTGATTTCAACTAGACGACATTTTCCAGAAATGCAAGTGTTGAGTAATGGTAGGCAGGTCATATTCAAACAATTCTTATTAAAAGGATTGTACAGCACTCCGTCACCACATGCGTTATAATTGAATAGTTTCATAGAATTTGATTCACTTTCTCCGTAAAGGACTAGACTAATCATAGCATGAACCTTTGTGTAAGGCGGCAAATCTTGCGGCCAGCAAGTAAATGCCTGAAACGCCCAGCATTGTAAGGTTTCAGTAACAAGATTACATTGTGCACAAAATTCATTTTTGTAAACATCAAATACATTCACATGCTTCCATACGTACACGTTTTGTGTTATTCCGATTTCACATCTTTCTCTTACAGTGGAATTTGCACTGTCATTATCCGGGCAACTGTCAATTACATTTACTGCACACATCCTGTGCGGTCTGTGTACGAGCCTGATAAAACACTCAGCAAGACTTTTTTCATCTTCGTCGGTTTTGCACATTAAATCAAACTTCCAGAATAGTATCCTCTTCAGATTTAATCTATTGCAAAAAGCACAGTACATATTCTTATATGCGACCTTTTCAAAATAGGTATCACTAACTGGTATCCTTTCTAAAATTTCACTATTCGAATTGCCTTCGCATTTACCTTTAATGTAAGCATCAGTCCAGCTCTCAGGACATTTTGTAACCATATAGACTCCATACACACCATCTGATGATCCTCGGCAATCTAAATGCAAATCGTACATTTCCGGAAACATTCGTACACACTCGTATTGCCACTTTTCGAGCTGCGTGTTCTTTAATGACGTTTTGTCGCAGCATGGATTGTCAAATAACTGGCACAAGTCATCGCAACCACCTTCTCTACAGTTTTTACACGATCCTTGGAATCTACAGAGTTCGTCGAATGACGATGTATGAGCTAAACTGTTCTTAATCCTTATTAAATTAAACATGCATTGAATAATGAAAATTATATTTAAATTTTGGCGAACATTGATAACATATGCCATGTTTATCACCTCGAATTAAAGTGTCTGTAAATCTTTGACTCTAGCGATGTACGTCATGTCAAGGCGTGGCTTACAAAACAGTATTGTTTCGGTCGCATATGTATTTCCATTTTTTATTACTGTCACATTTGTTTAATATCATATCTGCATAGGTCGCATGTTTCTATCGTATATCTTTATGCTATATTAAAAAGTCACAATAAACTTTACATTGCGTCTGTTGTATATATTGTATACATATATTCAGTTACAGTAACATGCAAATATAATTTTGGCACAGTGAAACAATATAACGTTTCAAAAAGCCACTAAAAATGACATGATAACTTTAATAATTTAGGATAAAACCAGGGTATAGTTTAATGATAATATTATGAGCTCTTATGTATAACAAGACATTTTAAAAAGAGTTGCTGCCTTAAAATGTTGTCCATTCTATCTGTTATTTTTGAAGAATTTCAGTTATACAAATTTAACAACTTCCTATTTTTACAGAATGTCCATGTTTAGCAATTGTCCGAATATTCATTTTACTTAGATACAAAATTTAAGACAATAAATTATTCAAAACACGTGTAACGAAAAATAGAAACTGTAGTGTAGTTTGTTGATTTCTGAAAATACATCAAATGTCAGTATTTAATTTTTATTTAGAGAACTAAACGAAGTTGAGCACGTGTCGCTCTCAGAGTAAATAATCAAAGACATACCTAATGGGTAAATCATTTTCTAAATATCAAAATAATTGACAACCTGGGAAATAAATACAAAGCGTCAGATTCCATCAAAGGATTGACTGACATGATCACATTAAGGGAATTGAAGTTTGAAACCAGACAAAAATAAAGAATATATCAAAGACGCTGTTGCCGTAGGCTGAAATTCTATTTTCACTGAATAAGAAGTTGAGACTTTCTAGAATACATGTGTTTTATATGGAAATTACTCGTGTTTCTTTACTTTGATTGAATTTATCCTATATACAAAGGAACGACAGGCACAGAAGAAGAAACAGCGTATCAATTTCCATTCATGAAAGAATATATTTAGCTGGAGATATTTGTAGTCGGCAAAATTGAATCTGTAAACATTAAAATCTTTGATACAAATAGTTTGAAAATAGTAAAAAAGTAATATGTTTTTCCCCTTTCTTTTTTAATTTTATCAGATAATGCAAAAAAAATCAGTTGAAACGAAAAAAAAACAAAGAAAAGGAACGAAAATAAAATATAACAATCCATTTTAAATTCTATCAATACCGGTTTATTTTATATCATTTTAACATATACAGTAACTATAATCAATTACAAAAGGTGTAACAGCTTTAGTATTTTGTGTATAACTATGTTTGTATTTCTTACAGTAAATATTGTAATTCTCATCTATATATGATTGCTCATGTGAAGTTGTAGTTGAATTTTCTGCGGAAAAGCTTTTGAACATCCGGGTTTTTGGCATTTAAATGGTTTTTCTCCAGTGTGCAATCTCTCATGCACTACACGTGTATATTTACTATTAAATGACTTGTAACAGTATGTGCATTTGAATCTTTGGTTGTCACGGTGATAACGCTGATGCTGTGTAAGTGAAGACCTCTTCGAAAACTTCCGGTCACATGTCTTGCAGGAAAATGGCGTATTTCCGGTATGGAAATTCATATGGTCTTGAAGGTGGATGGAACTGGAGAATTCTTTGTTACAAATATCACAGGAATGGTTACAGTGCAGTCTTTGATGCTTAGAAAAGAAACACAAAGCAACCATTTTATCGCACAAGCCACACTGCACATTTCCATCGTTGAATTTGATATGCTTTGTTACATATCCATGTTTCCGTAGTAAGTCTTTCTTCAAATCACATTTAATTCCTTGCATATAATGTAGATACTGATGTCCCTGTGCATCCGTATTGTCTGTACAGAAAGAATTACAAGCGTGGCACCAATAAGATGTACTAACAATCTGATCATAGTTATTCAACGTGTCTACATTTGTCGTACTGGAAATTCTCGCACTGTGATAATTGTAAACAATAGCCGGCGTCGACGGTTCAGTGTATTTAGATGCGTTTGTATCACCAAGTAAAGCTTCAATTGAGAACGGATGAGGAGTTGATTTCTTATAACATGTACCTGTTAATTCAAAATCCAATGCTTTCCTAGCATGTATGACATTTGATGTTGAATAAGACTGGACCTTTGTTCGTTTAAGTGAACTGCTATCATCGTCTGAATCAATCTTTGAATCACTGCCTGAACGTAAATCTGTATGATCCACAAAGCTATCACATGTATAGCGTATTAATTTTGGTAGAGTTAGATCTAGGGGCATGTCTTCAGCGGGCCGTTTACTTCCTGTAGCACGCTGCATCATATGTGACATCAATGCTTCCATTTTCTGAAATACAAATATATGAAATGTTAAACTGCATTCCGAATTGTGTTCAATCTCGACATTAAAACATGTTTCCTCAAGTTCAGTTCTTCTTGATAACATATATCATACATAAGACTGTTTCTTAAGTAAATGCAATATGAAACATAAAGAGTTTCACATTGTTAACATTATGATTTATAAATACTTAAAAAAATAATGGTTTTACGGCCATTTTACAATGAAATCAGAAATGTTTAATAGTAACTGACATAAATCCTTAACATATAACAGTGAAACAAAAGGGTAACAACACTCATTACTAAAATGCGTCATGCTTCAAAAATTATTTTGCTCGAAAGGAAAGTCAATTATTCAAATTATATTATTATTATTAGCATATAAATGTATTACATATTCATCGCCATACATTCAAAATTATTGATATTTGTTTGATCTTCATTCACAAAATCAAATCTATTTACAACTATTTTGCAATAAAATTAGACTTTTCAAATAGTAACTGACATAAAAGCTGTAACTTTTAACAATGAAAAAAAGTAACAACACTCATCGCAATTACTAAAATGCGTCATGCTTTTAAAATCAATTTGCTCGAAAAGAAAATTATTTCATTTTTGATGTTTATTTAAGCTTTATTAACAAAATCAAATCAACTGTAATTTAAGAAAATGATAATTAGATTATTTTTTACCTGATGGTTGACAAACAAGTTTATGCTGTTTTCGCTAATGATATATCTTTGTTCATTCACTATTAGACTGAAAGATAATTTAATGATGATGATGATAGAAAGTTTGCCTATAAATAGTGACGATACCTATCAAACTAAGGTATAGTAATTACTCAAAATGCGCAGGGTAATAATTGAGTACAAGCTATGATAAAACTTGCGTCCAAGCTTATTTTTCACATATCGTTGAAGATTTTTACGTGTCGGTAATTAAATTCACACGGCTTTGCATATTACATGCATTAAAGCCTTTTCATTGTTACGCATTAATAAAACAACAACAATCAAAACAAATACCCTCATCTTTTTCTCATTTTTTTAAATTCAAAGTTATATGGTATTTATAATAATTTTTTACAATTTATCCTAAATTCATGCGTTCATTTCAAAATGCTGTGGGTGGGAAACGGTAACAGTGCATAACCCGAGCATGTAGAAATTTTGTGAACTATTCCAATGAATTCAAAGGATATTTAACTCCGGTGTTTATAATTATATAGGTATCACGCCAATAAGTTGTTTTTATTTTCTTTCTTTTTTAAAAAATTATTCACTGTTAGATTAAAGAAATGGTCTATTTTGAGTGATATTGTTACTGATGTACAGTTTAATTTTAAAGCTATTGTACTGTAGACGCAATATTTTATTGATTTATTTTATTGAAAAACAATCGCAAATTTACGGTGTCCGATAGGGCCATCGCGACACACACATAAAACAACGAAAATATTAATTTAAAAATATTCTTCTTAAGTATGAGGCTTTACGATGTCTGCTTGCGTGATTTGTTTCTAAACAAAGGTCAATAGAAATTTTTTTTCATAAGTATGATGTAATGTCTGCTATATCATAGTTACTGGACAATCATGGGTAGAGAGATTAAACAACGCAGCTGTTCGGTTTCTAAATCTATTTACTAATAATCCTACAGAGAGGTGATGTCAGGTGAAGTTAGGCGGGGCTTATCAGCTAGTAGCTAATACTAGTTGACCAAAAGCGAGTCAATATATTACAGATGATATAGATTGTTTCGAGTTTCCTCATTCCTGAAAAAGAGCCCTTCTAAGATCAGAAAAATGTCCATAACTCGTAAACCATACAGTAAACTTCGTTTAAATTTTGCATGCATGTGTCCTTTAAGGTATATAACTGACCTATGTCGATAATTTTACACTATCTAATAGTGCCCATTGGTGCCAGAGTTATGGAACTGGACACACAAATACATTATAACTGTAATTAATGTATGTTGTATATTTATGTAATGACAGGAACTTTTATATTCAAGTTATATTGATTGTATAATAAAACCTGTTGTGTTTAATTATTTCATCTCAGCTTTAATGATATGCATCGAAATTTTTCAAAATAGTAATAACATTTAGCTTTAAATGATCTATAGCTAATCGTCTCCTTGTATATATTCAATGTTAATTTTGTAGTATCAGAAATGTATGTTAAAGACATGCCCTGGTAGTATTGCGTTTTTTACAAAACAACATTTTAAACTTGTATTATCTGTAAATTGTACATATATGTTTTCATTTTGTTTTATATTACCTCACATAAACTTTTTACTATATAGCCAAATATGACGTTACTTAGTGTTATTTCATCTGTCATCCTGGAAATGAATGATTCCCCAGTGGCGAGTAATCTATGTAGACTTATGAGAACATAATGTTCCAGTTCTCTCCCCTGATCAGGGTAATAATGAATAGCAATGAAAAATTACAAAAGAAAAAATCAAAGCACAGAAGGCGCAGAATTTGTTTGGGTCTCAGAATGTCAGAAAGGTGAAGGTTGTGAGATTATAAACCAATTTGTTTTTATTTGTTTGGGTCGTCAGACCAAACAAATAATGGTAGCGAAATTTCAGAGTCTAATGTTCTTAATTGCAAATGCCGAAAGTAGTCCACTTTTTTGAAGCGGTTACTTCCCTTTTGTATGTACACTAAAGCCGAAAAATTCAGGGGAGATCACTGCGTAAAGATGGTCAAAGACAGGCGCATCAATTTTCAAGCAAAGTAATTCCCGAATGGTCGAAGATTTCTAATATTGTTTTCTGGTATTTTCTGATCGAAAATAACTAAATACAAAGCGGAAATTCAATCTCTGACACAGAAGTTTATGACAAACCTAACAACAAGTAGTTCTCAAAACAGCTTAAAACTAGCGATTTAAAAGAAAGAAATATTTTATTTCGTTACAAGTTTCCAACAAATTACAACGCATTTAAAGTTAAACAATAGCGTTGGCTTATAGAATTGTCAATAAATGCACAATCACAAATTACGCGGATGAATATGATTTTATCAATGAAAATACTATTTTTAGCCATGTAGATTACCGAATACTACACAAACCGAGTAGTGGAATATATAGATTCTACATGTTGGACTGTTTGGGCGAGAGGATTTTCGCTAAAATATTTACTTCAATTTTAAACAACAGGTTTACCCTGAACAAAATACCTCGAAATTAATAAGGATTACAAACCTGAATGCAATGGAAGTTCTAAATTTAGAATGACTTAATATTATTCAGACATCCTGTGTATAACTTCTCCGTGGTACAGTGGTAACGCGCTCGCTTAGTGAGTGAGAGGTCTCGAGTTCGAATCCCACTCGAGGTAATTTTTTTTTGTTAAATTCTTTTTTTAATTGTTTTTGTTAAGGAAGTAGCCATGATTTACAAGGATAAAGTGTGGCTGTCGTAAAAAAAGTACATAAATGATTTTTTGATGCAACTCTAGTTATGCAGAATTCCGTATGTGCCTTACAAAATGAATTATAATACATAAAAATAAACTTATACAGGAAAATGCATACAGATAAACAGTACGATTTAGATTGCAAAGATCAGAAAATACCAAAGAACTTGAAGCCCTTTGATTCTTTATAAATATACATGCTTATAGTAAGCTTCAGGATTATTTACACCTGTGTTAAACAACAGTTAAAAGTCGTTAAAAGCCCTAATTTAGAATAATATGGTTTTCTTCAGGCCGTTCACATAAATTTAACCGTGGCTGAAGGGTTTTCGGGCTCGCTTAGGAAGCGAGAGGTCTGGAGTTCAAATCCCAGTAAAGGTAACTCATTTTTTAAATTGTTAAAGTCAAATAAACATTGGATTGAATATCAGTGTTGCAATTAGTCTTATAGCCAATTTACTACAATTAAAACGCTGGAAAGCATTGGTGGCACTAAACATATAATCTCACGCACCTTTCTTACATTCTGAGACCCAAACAAATTCAGCGCCTTCTGTGCTTTGATTGTATACTGCCACCAGTGCTTTCCGGCGTTTTAATTGTAGTTAATTGGCTTTAAGACTAATTGCTACACTGATATTCAATTCAATGTTTATTTGATTTAAACAATTTGAAAAAAAAAGAGTTGCCTTCCTGGATTTGAACTCCAGACCCCTCGGCCACGGTGAAGTTATATGTAAAACGCCTGAAGAAAACCATATTATTCTAAATTAGGGTTTGTAACCCTTATTATTTCGACGCTAACTGTTGTTAAACCACAGATGTTAATAATCATGGAGCTTATTATAAGCATGTATATCTATAAAGGATGGAAACAAATTTTAGAAATGCTTCGACCATTGGAATTTTTTTGTTTTAAAAATTAATGGGGCCTTCTTTGACCATTTTTTACCGCATATCTCCCTTTTTTTTTCGCCTATTTACATTTTGGGGAATAACCGCTTCAAAAATCCCCAAAATCCCCAAACCCCCCAGAGGCGTGCACGTCGGGGGAAAAGGGCCCACAGGGCAGGCCCAATTTCAAGTCATTTTAAAACCCGGTTTTTGGTTCCCTTCTGACTAACTCGGGAGGTTTTTAAATTTGAACCCGTTTTTTTATCTTTCAGTAGGGAACATATGCCTGCCCATATTGTCTACCCTTTCAAAACCCCAACAAAAACAAAGAAGGGGCCTACGGAAGTTTTTAAACTTAAAAATACGTCCCCGCTGAGTTTACCTTATTTGGCCCGGCAAGGATAAAAATTTCCCGACATAGGGAATTTTCCGGGCCGCCGAGTATAAATAAACCGAAAAAATAAAAATAAAATAAAAAAGCGGCCTACTTTCGGCATTTGCAATTAACAGCATCAGACTCTGAAATTTCGCTACCATTATTTGTTTGGTCTGACGACCCAAACAAATAAAAACTATTACAATAAGCTATGAAAAAATGCCATATTGTTTCCAATTTTACGTGTTGTCTGCTAGAGAGATGTCATACCTGTAAAAAATGGAATGGAATAGTACATGTACATGTCGGAGGGAAAATACAATGTCGCCGTACGTAATAAAAAACACACATAAATTGTATCTAAAATGAGTTATGTAATACTTTTATTGTCTGTATCATGAAATAGTTCGTTACACATAAACAATAAGGGTATAATCAATTGTATTTTACTATCAACGAGTTCTTTGCGCAAATATATATTTCATTATAAACTATTAGGATCAACTAAGTGACCTTTATAAAGATTATTTAGTTTCTTTTGGTAGGGAGAGTTGATGGGTCCATGCACGTGAAAATCGTGGATTTCATACATGTAATTTTACAACAGAAAAGAATGGTGTAATATTTACATGCTGGAGAAAGGATTAATTACATAGTTAAAGGTGACTAGTTATAAATGTTTGCATGATAAGTATTGTCATAAGATAATACGTTCATTTAGAAAGAGAAAATGAACCTTGTATTGAGGCTTTTGCTACTTTCCTCTAAGACATTACTTGTGTTACTAAAATAGAGAAAATAAGAATCCCTACCTAACAAGGCAAAATTGAAAATGTTGAAGGCTCGGTTTGATTGAGCCTGTTCATAGACGGTACTGTCAAGTGCAAACCACCGTCCCACGCCCCCTAGCATCGGCTTTAGCAGAATTTTTTAAACATAAAAATGGTGTATTTTTAATTTTAGATACATCAAGATGTGTTCATGGGCGTCCGTGGCCGAGTGGTTAAGTCCGTTTACATTTTGCCCCCCACGCTGTGGGTAATTTTGATTCTTTTCGATGTGAGGAAGGCTATCAGCTAGCACGGAACGTCGGTGGTTCTACTCAGGTGCCCTTCGTGCCTGAAATAATGCACGAAGGGACCTGAGGTCTTCTCCACCAGTAAAAAACTGGAACGTCGCGATTCAATGTGTCGATGTGACGTAAAACCCAAAACAAAACAAAAAAAACAAAAGATGTGTTCATTACGGGAGTATCATGGGAACCTTTCAATGTGACATGTTAGTGCCATTAAAATCGGCGTATGGTTTTGACGTCTTATCTGTGATATGCAGGCTTCATAACCTCAGACCTTCCGCACATTGTTTTCTCGTTTAGTGCACATTGGAACCACCACCAAGTAAAAAATATGCTGAAAAGTAAAAACTAAAAAATACCACAAACACAGCAATAATGTCGTGCTGAACGATCTTCAATGATCGGAAAAGTTAAATATAATAAGTACAATAAGTTAAACACACTGGCCATAGCTTTTCGCAGAAGTGGTGGGTCCATCGCAGCGGCGTCGGAGTATAAGGTGCAGAAGCCGTGAATAAAATATGGCCGTTCTCGGTAATTTTACGACTGAATTTTACTTTTAATGTTTTACTGGCAAAACCATATCACATATGTCTTACTTGACATTAAAGAAACGTGTTTATTTGGTATTTGAAATAATACAAAAAGATGCTGGCGTTCTGCTTAGAACTATTTACCTTCCATTGAAAATTTCATTGGTAGACTATTCTACGTAAAAAGACCTTAGTTCCAGGTTCAACAACAAACAAATAAAAGAGATACTCGTGAAGATTAACAAAACATACTTATTGATTATGAAGAACAATCTCAGTTTAAAATGTCACTGTGTTATATTATCATACTGAGGAACACCAATTTATAAGTGTATTATAGTTTGGGGACCTTTCTGTCAGAGTTTAATCGTATACATGCACAGTGCGTGTTTAGATATCCCCACTCCAGAGCATGCCCGTAGAGGGGCTCCTTTTTTCTGGGGTTTACTTAATGTGACGACAGATAAATGGACAACGATAGAAATGTCTATTCAGATGCTCATTCTCTGATTACTTTTTTTCTTGGGCTTTATATTGCGACAACAAGGGACGTGATTTTATTTTGCATGTATATAAAACCTAACATTTTGTTAAAATGAAGCTTAGTGTCAGAATTAAGTTAACAACAGTCTTTTAAGTGTCCGGGTTTTTCCTCAAGATCGCTGTGGGTTCTGATTTATTGAACACGTTTCATAAAATATTACTACTTTATTCAACCAATGACTTCAATGAATTAAGTCATAGAAAATATGAGAACAAAATATTCTGTTTATCACATTTTCAAAATAAGTATACATGTAGTTTACAGTCTAAAAATATAATGTAACGATAACATTCCATGACGTATTAACGTAGTCAGAATTAAAAATGCTCTAAACTTTGCATGAGAGAAAACCATTCGCCAGACTCGTTTTCAAGTTCACTTTTCTTTTTCAGATAAATTGTAAGGTCTATGTTTCTAATTTTCACCAGCTAACTTCCTCTTTAGTATTTGTAGCCAGTACAGAACCGATTTTTTTATTTTCTTCTGCTTAAATTGTGACACTCATCGAAAAAAGGGGTTTGAAAATATGTTTGACAACCATTTTTAAATAAACCTATGTAATTTATTTATCTTCATCCGTATCAATTACAAAACAATAAAATAACCTACTAATTATAAAACATGTCTAATTATAAATAATATTTTTATTATCCATGGTAAAGTGTTTGTTTGCTACAATTCAAGGGAATGCCACATTTTTCATTTAGCTTTTAAGGAATTATAAAACGGAATTATACCATAAGAGTGTGTAAACCATCAAAGATTAGATACTTGTTGCATTTAATGTTAATTAACTTCAATGTTTAAAAATATCTCACGATAAATAGCTACTCGAAATTATTTCCTTGATATTGAAAAATCTAACACATTTAGCTAGCCAAAAGTTCTAGCCGTACGTGAGTCACGTACGACTAGCCTGGACACACTGTACTGGCTAGCCGTACGGCACTTTTCAAAATTATATGGAAGTCGAAAATGCATATGTTATTTTGTGTCTTTAAACGACTTTTTTAATCAAATCTCCGCATTTGTCCTAGTACATGTGTTCACTTTAATAAAGATGCTCCGCAATTTTGCAAAAAAAAAAATAAAAAAAAAATGAATACGAATACAGTACGTAAGCGTTGTATACGTATAGGCTATCTTAATAAAATTAAGTGTCAAGAAAAGTTGCATGTTATAACGTCCTTAATTTTATGATTTGTATGAAAGATGAAATGTTAAATCTGTTAATTAAGCACATGGATCGAATAAATAATGATCGGAGGGGAATAATAAGAATATAAGAAAAACGGTGAAAAGGAAAAAATAATTTTAATAATGCAAACTTTCCTTAATGATGGACGATGGACAAACTTCTATACCGTCGGTAATTGACACAATTATCAGAGCCCAACAACAACTTTTTTCGGTGTTTTATTGTTTTGTTTTGTTTTTCATTTAAAAATTAAACTTAATGAAACAAAAAAAGGATTATTATCAAAATTTGTAAACTATTTCAATTGATGTTATTTAACTGCATCCAAACGCTATTTTTCTCGACCTCTTGAGATGACAATTAAAGTACGAACATTTATTCTTTACTGAAGCCAACACGTTGATTAATCTATAAAAAAAGTAAACATTCTTGACTAAAATCCTCGCTTAAAGTCATAATAAACATATGTACTTTCGCCTTCCATAAATTTTTGAAAAGTGCCGTACGGCTAGCCAATACAGTGTGTCCTGGCTAGACGTACGTGACTCACGTACGGCTAGAACTTTTGGCTAGCCGTACGGGCCCGTACGGCTAGCCACTTCCTTAATTAAATGTATCAGGTAAGGAGAGTTAGTTGTTCATGCACGTGAAAATCGAAACATTCGGTCATATAATTTTACCATGAAAAGGAAACAGAAGCCATAATATCAATCAAGCAATATACTATAGTAGGGCCGAAACGTCTCGCTGAAAAGGGCCGAAACGTCCAGGGGCCGATTTTTCTACTGGGGCCGATTTGGTTTGGGATCGAAACGTCCTGTTTGCGTGTCCGAAGACTGACGGAAAGGGCCGAAAAGTTGCGACCCCAACATATTTATTTTAACAAAAGAACACTTAGAAAAATGTATTGTTGTTTTCTATAATGAAAAGGTCAGAGTTGACCGAGGTTCGGCGAAAAAAACCGGACAATTTTCCCGCTTCACACATTACAGGTCACGTGATCATTTGAGCACAGAAAAGACCAGTTTAGGAGGGAACGTCGCACGGAGAAGAGGGCAAATGGCGTTCTCTGTTGATTTTGCAGGTGTGTTAATATTTTACAACTTTATTGTGATTTTTCAGGTATGTACAGTACTGAAAGAAGAAGAAAAAGAAGAAGAGCCTGTTTAGAAGGGAGAGTCGCATGGCGAAGATGGAAGAAGAAATGGCGTGCAGGTGTGTTGATATTTTACAACTTTATTGTGTCCTTTTATTAACCTATCCTATGCCTTTGTTATATGCCTGTTTAGTTTTATTTTGATGATTTGTATACATTATTGCTCCTGATAATTTAGACACCTGGCCGTTTTATTACCCTGCGCCCACTTGGCTTGCTAGTAATCGTGTTGTTCGACTTCGCGCGAGATAACTTCGGCGTTTTTTGTTTATTTTTTTTATGTTATTTGACAAACTCTCCCTGCGCATTCTGATTATAAATACATTAGGTATTAAAAGGTATAACAAAAAAAGCTTGTCTCTCAGCCGCAGGTTGGCTGTGGGTCCATACTCTCGAGGTTAAAACGTGTAAAAAGGTATGAAAAAATATGGGCTTTCAGCCGCTGTTTGGCTGGGGGTCCGTACTACATGTATAAAAAGGTATAAAATAATCTGGTCTCTTAGCCGCAGGTTGGCTGGGGGTCCGTACTACATGTATAAAAAGGTATTAAAAAAAATCTGGTCTTTCAGCCGCAGTTTGGCTGGGGGTCCGTACTACATGTATAAAAAGGTATAAAATAATCTGGTCTCTTAGCCGCAGGTTGGCTGGGGGTCCGTACTACATGTATAAAAAGGTATAAAAAAATCTGGTCTTTCAGCCGCAGTTTGGCTGGGGGTCCGTACTACATGTATAAAAAGGTATAAAATAATCTGGTCTCTTAGCCGCAGGTTGGCTGGGGGTCCATACTCTCAACATAAAACATGTGTAAAAAGGTATAAAAAAATCTGGTCTGTCAGCCGCAGTTTGGCTGGGGGTCCGTACTACATGTATAAAAAGGTATAAAATAATCTGGTCTCTCAGCCGCAGGTTGACTGTGGGTCCATTAACTCTCGAGGTTAAAACATGTAAAAAGGTATAAAAAAAATCTGGTCTTTCAGCTGCAGTTTGGCTGGGTTCGTACTACATGTATTAAAAGGTATAAAATAATCTGGTCTCTTAGCCACAGTTTGGCTGGGGGTCCGTACTACATGTATAAAAAGGTATTAAAAAAATCTGGTCTTTCAGCCGCAGTTTGGCTGGGGGTCTGTACTACATGTATAAAAAGATATAAAATAATCTGGTCTCTTAGCCGCAGTTTGGCTGGGGGTCCGTACTACATGTATAAAAAGGTATAAAAAAATCTGGTCTTACAGCCGCAGTTTGGCTGGGGGTCCGTACTACATGTATAAAAAGGTATAAAATAATCTGGTCTCTTAGCCGCAGGTTGGCTGGGGGTGCGTACTACATGTATAAAAAGGTATAAAATAATCTGGTCTCTTAGCCGCAGTTTGGCTGGGGGTCCGTACTACATGTATAAAAAGGTATTAAAAAAATCTGGTCTTTCAGCCGCAGTTTGGCTGGGGGTCCGTACTACATGTATAAAAAGGTATAAAATAATCTGGTCTCTTAGCCGCAGGTTGGCTGGGGGTCCGTACTACATGTATAAAAAGGTTTTAAAAAAATCTGGTCTTTCAGCCGCAGTTTGGCTGGGGGTCCATACTACATGTATAAAAAGGTATAAAATAATCTGGTCTCTCAGCCGCAGGTTGGCTGTGGGTCCATACTCTCGAGGTTAAAACGTGTAAAAAGGTATAAAAAAAATATGGTCTTACAGAGGGTCCTTACTCTCAACATAAAAACATGTGTTAAAAGGTATTAAAAATCTGGTCTTTCAGCCGCACATTGGCTGGGGGTCCATACTCTCTACGTAAAATCATGTATAAAAGGTTTGAAAATAAATTTGATCTCTCAGTCACAGGTTTTACTGGAAGAAGAAGAAAAAGAAGAAGAATTAAGAACCTATTTAGGAGTGAGAGTCGCATGACGAAGATGGAAGAAATGGCGTGCAGGTGTGTTGATATTTAACAACTTTATTGTGTCATTTGCATTTTTCATTAGCCTATCGTATTGAATGCCTTTGTTATTTGCCTGCTTATTTTTATTTTGATGATTTGTATGCATAATTGCTCCTGATAATTTAGACACCTGGCCGTTTTATTACCCTGCTCCCACATGACTTGCTAGTAATCGTGTTGATGATTATGGTTGATGTTGAATTTTACGGACTAGGTTGACCAGCCGCTCGACGTAACATACTTCGCGCGACATAGCATTCTTCGGCGTTTTTTGTTTAATTTTTATTGTATACTGACAAACATTCCCGCCACATTCTGATTATTAATACATGTATTTTGCGCATGCCAAACAGGTTTTATTTATTATATGTAAAAGGATGTATATTGAAGAAAATGTGTATAAAAAATTGTATGAAAATTGGTAAAATAAATGGATATAGATTTGTTACTGGTCGGCTCGGTGATATCTTTGTTTCACTATCAGTATTAAATGCATAATGGGTATTAAATGCAAAAAAAGGATTGGAAAATATCACAAATAATAGTTTAACTGTAAACATGTCAAAGAAGTGAGTTTCAAAAATGTGTATAAGATTGTGTATAAAAATGTGTATACATAAAATATTGGTATAAAAATTGTGTATAAAAAAAGGTATAAAAAGTGTGTATAAAACATGGGTATAAAATTGGGTTAAAGAAAGATTAGTAAGATGTGATTTGTAAAAAATAATGTGTGTATCAAAATAACTTGTATGAATAATTTGTATGAAAAAGGTATCATAAAAGGGTATTAAATTGTATCTGGTTCCTGTTTGGCTGTTTCGCGAGAAATCCCGTTTAACATGTCAAAGGTTTTTTTAATTAATAGTAAAAATAAAAACTTGGGTATAAAAATACTTGTATGAGAATGTGAATAAAGAATATAATATTAAAGTTGTTTCTGGTAGGCTGTATGCTCCATAATATTCCCCATTATTTCATAAGATGATATGAATAATGTTTGGTAAAAAAAAATATCGCAAAATTATAATTTAAAAAAGGGTTTTAGGTAAAAATTGTGCATCTTTGATGTTGGTATAACATGCACATACTAACTTTCGGTTCAGAGCTCATCATGTGTCTTTATGCAATTTCTGTTCTAGAGTTAGAAATTTTAAGCACAAAGATGGTCAATTCTAAGGGTTAACACATATGTTAACATTGGTATGATATGCTATGAATTGTCTATATAATATGAAAAGTTATGGTGCAAAAGGTGGTAAAAATAAATGTTTTAAAAGAATTTTAAAAATATACCAGAATGTAAACAAATGTGTTATAAAAATATGCTTGAAAAATGTGTATATAAAAAAAGGTATAAAATTAACATAAAAAAGTTATAAAAAAAGTTATAATAATACAAATAGTAATTAAAAAAAATTATAAAAGAAATAATAATAAAAACATAAAAATACTAATTATAAAAAAAATTATAAAAGAAATAATAATAAAAACATAAAAATACTAATTATAAAAAAAAAAAATAAAAGAAATAATAATAAAAACATAAAAATACTAATTATAAAAAAAAAAAATAAAAGAAATAATAATAAAAACATAAAAATACTAATTATAAAAAAAAACAAATAAGAAAAACAAACAAATCACATACCAACAACATAATTAAGCTTCGTTAACTGAATGGTGGGAGAAGTGTAGCGCGTTATAATAATAATAATATAAAATAAAAATAAAACGTCCATTCAGTCGCGCGTATAAACCGTTCGACGTATACTATGACTACACTTCTTCCAATGCTGCCTAGTTTTAATAACTAGCATGTCCCAAGCCATGATAAAAGCAGAGGGGAAGAAATGAAGTTAATAGATTTTATAGCGAAATCAACAAAAATTATCTGATCATGGTCTGCACTGTTCACTATTCAGACAGAACATAATTTTGAAACTTTCCGAAAAATAAAGTAATTAAATTGAAAGATGGATATAAGTCCATTTAACATACTAAGCCTGGTTAGGTTTATTTCTTCCAATGCTGCATAGTTTTAATAACTAGCATGTCCCAAGCCATGATAAAAGCAGAGGGGAAGAAATGAAGTTAATAGATTTTATAGCGAAATCAACAAAAATGTTCTTATCATGGTCTGCACTGTTCACTTAATTCAGACAGAACATATTTTGAAATTTTCTGAAAAATAAAGTAATTAAATTGAAAGATGGATTTAAGTCCATTTAACACACTAAACATGGTACTGAGGTTTAACTCTTCCAATGCTGCCTAGTTTAATAACTAGCATGTCCCAAGCCATGATAAAAGCAGAGGGGAAGAAAATTTTAATGAAGTTGATAGATTTTATAGTGATATCCACAAAAATTGTCTGATCATTGTTCACAATTCATTTAGTATATATTTTGAAATTTTCCCTAAAATGATAAGATTGAAAGATAGGCAAGTCAGTTTAATATAGCTCAAATTCAGTATCCTTTCATTATCTGTTTACATCAATTACTCATTATTCATCCCTTTCTCATAGTGGTAGAGTGTTGGCTCTCTGATTATAGTTAGAAATTGAATTGACCCTGAATTAAATCCTTTAAAAGGCATTGTTACCTTGACTAGATATTTAAGAAGAATAAATAGAGCTAATTCCTAGTTTTAAAGGGACTCCACTGAGGTTTAAAAGCCTAAAAACATAACAGTTAAATTTCTTACATAATGAGCTGGGGCACTTTAAACAGAAATATATGCAAACATAGTTAAGAAATATACTATGAAATAAATTGAAAATCGTATTTTAATGATTTTCTTAGCCCAATTTGAGTGAAAAGCGTTTAAACGCTTTTAATTTTGGGTCATTTTTTACAATTTGAATAATTATTCTGGAAAAAACGTAGTGCGCAAATGATCTGAATTTTGCACAAAGATTAGTGGTCTAAACCTACATCAAATGGTACATTTATTTGGAAAAAATATTTTCAGTCCCATCATGTCAAAATACCTCAAAGGAGTCCCTTTAACTCACTCGAGTGTTGACGTAACCACTTTTGTTAAAGTTTGCGTACCCTTTCAAATATTTTCAATGTCCATTGAAATATGGCTTTGAAACTTTGCGCACTTGTTCACCATCATGCCCCCCAACCTGTACACAGGAGGAAGTAACTCTACTCTAATGCCCCTTTTAGACTCATATTTACATTTATTATATACCAACTAATATTATTTGCCTTTTGGTGTACCACCTCAAATATTTTCATTTTCCATTGACATCTGGTTTTGAAGAGAGTTGAAATTTTAAACACTTTTTTGAGAGCATAATAGGTCAATCTCAAAGATCTATAACTTTCATATGGATCTGAAAAATTTGTTTGCCCCAATTGAACATAGTCAAAGAGCCTTGATAAGGCCACAGAAAATTAATTTTTAGACTCTCATCCTCGCCCGCCCGTATCAAAATCTTTCCGCTCCAAAATAATTTATTTTCATAAAAAAAATTGTTCATTTCGCAGACGTCTGTGGACGAAAATTCGTCCGAAAATCGTGGTCGAATATTCAAGGGATGAACGCATAGAAATCAGACTGAGATTTACAGCGTCTAGTGATCAAGATTTTAAATACGTTCGTTTTCGATCAGTAAAATTGTCAAAATGTTCGTCTTATGTGAAATATATGATGCAGTAAACAAGAAAACTGTTTGTGATTGGTTTGGGTTTAGTTTTGATCAAAATCTGGGTGGAAATGATGCGACGTTCATCAATATATTTGAAAATTTTTTATTTAAACACTTTTGTTTATTCATACATTACTGTTTTTTCAGGTCTTAAAAGTGATGGATAAAATAAATTATAAATTATAAATTCCACCCACCCGCCCCAATTATTTCTTGAAACCTGGATGAGAGTCTAAAGATTAATTTTCTATGGCCTAATGTAAAATTTTCTATCAAGCACTAAAAAAAGTATAGCGTTCTTTATTTCTTTTTAACTTTTTGTTTTTAGATATTTTTCAACTAAGCGGATTTCAGTGTGTTCTTCACACAAGGCTTTTTGAGAACATTAAGTTTAACAAAAGACTGAGTTTAAGGTAAGATCCCTGTAATGGAATCTGGTTTTTCCGTGCCATGTCGGCATTCTACGTAACTTATCGGCACATCCGTTACCTCTCGCCTGTTTCCGTAAACAGATTTATGTTTTATTTATAAATGAATAAATTATCCATATAATTATATCCAGTACAAATAGAATTTTAGTTTTTGATAAAATGAAAATGAAATTATCAAAAAGAATATGTTGTTTGTAAACGGATAATTCGTAAAAACCCCGTTGCTGTGAAACCAGGTTGGGAAACCCCTATATGACGTCACGATTTCAGAAAATAGACCGCAGAAGTGAAAATGAAAGTAAGAGACAGAAAAGGCCGTTACAAGGCCAAAAACAAACGCAAGTTGAGAAAAGAACCTAATATTCTTGTGGATCATAATAACCCTCACGTATTGAGCATTTGTAAGTGCAAAATTGGTAATTGTCCAATTTATGAACACCGACAGAAGGGATCGGCAGGTGGGTGGAGAAAAGCTAGACGGGTGATTGAGTTCGACGTTTAGTTAGAAATTTAGCTCAAGGAATGTCGTCCTGGAACATTATTCTCACAAGCGACAACATTGTGGGGGAGCTGCAAAATGGCTTGGGTGGCTATCTGTACGTTATGTGTTCGAATTTAGAGTGAGGAGCTGTAAATTTGGTTTCATATGGAACAACACACAACAACAAAACGAAGGGGATGTCCTGCTTTGAAATAAACACAAAGCTTGGATTTGGTAATTATTATTTTTTATTTGAAACAAATTTAGATATTTTAGAATGTTAATCAGCCAGGCCCCGAGGCACTAGATAATGACAAAGTAATTTGAGCCGTGTCGCGACAAACCAAACATAATGGGTTCGCGACCAGCATGGATCCAGACCAGCATGCGCTTCCGAGCAGTCTGATCAGGATCCATGCTGTTCGCTTACAACCCCTATAAAAAGTAGACAAACTGATAGCGAACAGCATGGATCCTGATCAGACTGCGCAGGCCGGTCTGGATCCATGCTGGTTGCAAACCCATTAGGATGGTCCCCTATGGTACCACTGTTCTTATTATTTCCAGCAAATTGTACACATAAAAAGAACTCGTATTTACTATTTTAATAAATTGTGTTTAACTGTCACATCTTGCCTTTAAAATACACCTGTCATTCATAGAATAACTCAATGATTTAAATTAGAAACATCTATGGTCATTCAGCCATGTTTTGAATGGCAGCTTAAACGGAGAGCACTATGGTACCGTGGTATGTAAATTGATGGCCCTTTTTGGCTTCAGTAGAACTTTCTCAATAAAATATGACGTCACTACAGTTTCAGCAGACGACCTTCACTTGTCAGAACATGAAATTATCAGTTTAACTGGTAAATGTGGGGTAAAATTTAAAAATATTTCCAACACACTCGGGTAGTTTTGGATTTTCCTATCAATGACAGAAATTTATTTAAAATGAAAATATTTCTAACAATTTTTATCCAAATTAAAAAAGCAGCACTTCCACTTTCACTTTAATGATGGAATCATTCAATTGGTCCCGTTCAGTGTGTAAAGAAACACATTTTCTGATTGCACCGGAATAGGCAAGGACGCGGTACCCGCGGGGAGTAGTATATGTTGGTTTTGTCATGACACGGCTCATTTTAATAATTGTAACTTGAAAATATATTACAGAATTTACACCAACTCACAAAAACTGTTTTATTATAGGTAAATTTAATTCTGTCGATATCTCGCCATAATAGGCATAATATAAATTGCCGAATATCATCATTAAAATCAATTAATAGAAATATGTATGTTCATTATTTGTGAAAATGTATTAATAATAAGAAGTGCAATTAAGTAACTGGCTGAAAATGTCATAAGCAATGTGAGTAACTGGCTGAAAATTTAATAAGATAGGATAGGATAGGATAGGATAGATAGAGATAGATAGATAGAGATAGATAGATAGATAGATAGATAGATAGATAGATAGATAGATAGATAGATAGATAGATAGATAGATAGATAGATAGATAGATAGATAGATAGATAGATAGATAGATAGATAGATAGATAGATAGATAGATAGATAGATAGATAGATAGATAGATAGATAGATAGATAGATAGATAGATAGATAGATAGATAGATAGATAGATAGATAGATAGATAGATAGATAGATAGATAGATAGATAGATAGATAGATAGATAGATAGATAGATAGATAGATAGATAGATAGATAGATAGATAGATAGATAGATAGATAGATAGATAGATAGATAGATAGATAGATAGATAGATAGATAGATAGATAGATAGATAGATAGATAGATAATAGATAGATAGATAGATAGATAGATAGATAGATAGATAGATAGATAGATAGATAGATAGATAGATAGAAGATAGATAGATAGATAGATAGATAGATAGATAGGATAGATAGATAGATAGATAGATAGATAGATAGATAGATAGATAGATAGATAGATAGATAGATAGATAGATAGATAGATAGATAGATAGATAGATAGATAGATAGATAGATAGATAGATAGATAGATAGATAGATAGATAGATAGATAGATAGATAGATAGATAGATAGATAGATAGATAGATATAGATAGATAGATAGATAGATAGATAGATAGATAGATAGATAGATAGATAGATAGATAGATAGATAGATAGATAGATAGATAGATAGATAGATAGATAGATAGATAGATAGATAGATAGATAGATAGATAGATAGATAGATAGATAGATAGATAGATAGATAGATAGATAGATAGATAGATAGATAGATAGATAGATAGATAGATAGATAGATAGATAGATAGATAGATAGATAGATAGATAGATAGATAGATAGATAGATAGATAGATAGA